GACAAAGAAAAAAAGGAAAAAAAACAACAAAAATTAATAATGATCATTATATTGATAATACTGAAACAAATGAACATCCAACTATACCAACAAAACTACAGCCTCAGCCAACCATTCCAACGACAGAATCACCATCAGTAACACCAAAGCAAGCAAAAACATTTTGGGAATCATTTTGGGAAAAATTGGATAAATTTTATCATTGGCTAGATGAATTTCATAATGATGCACCGAAAAAATTTTGGATAACATTGATTGGATTTGAAATTTTTTTAATTATAATCGGTTATTTGATTGGTCGTTAATTTTCCTAATAAATTTTTTTCGTAACATGATTTGAGCGCCATCTCTTAACATTAGTATTTTCCTTTTTAAATAAACGAAATATTTTTTTTGCAAATCTTTACAGACAAATTACAACAAAATTCCATTACAAAATTCAAAAATTAAGTTAAATTTTTAAAAAATGGAAAATTTAAAGAACTTTATATTTTGGTTTTTATATTGAGTTTGTTGTTTGACTCTTTTTTGTTTCAATCAGAACGGAATTTGTAAAAAATTGAACATGAATTATCAATTTTATTTATCGTTTATCCTCATTATATTTATAATTTTTTCAACGAATAATAATAACAACATTGTTGAATGTGATCTTCTTTATCAATATATAACAAAAGCTACAACAACAACCACAACGACGACAACAACAAGAGAGCCAGAAATAGAAAGAGTAAAAATTACAGTAGTGATTATTAGACGTAGAGGACATAGAAAAAGAGGAAAAATAACAACAAAAATTAATAATGATCATTATTTTGATAAAACAAATGAACGGCCAACTAGACCAACAATAATATGGCCACCAACACCTCGAACTAGACCACCAATACCCTACGTTCCACCTCCAACTCCTGCACTGCCACCGCCACCACCACGACTATCAATAACAACAGGAAAAACATTTTGGGAATCATTTTGGGAAAAATTGGATAATTTTTATCATTGGCTTGATGAATTTCATCGTGATGCACCGAAAAAATTTTGGATAACAATGATTGGATTTGAAATTTTTTTAATTACAATCGGTTGTTTGATTGGTGGTTAATTTTTCAAATAAATTTTTTTCGTAACATGATTTGAGCGCCATCTCTTAACATTATTTATGATTAGTTTTTTAATTCAATCAAACTTTCAAATCAAATTAATCAAGAAATTTTTTCTTTTTTTTTCAATCTGAATAAATAAATAAAACCAAACGAAAAATGAATTTCGTTTTCTGTCTTTTTATTTTCAGTTTTTATTTTCATTTTAGTTGATTGGGAAATTTTCCGGAAAAGAAAAATTCCCAGGAAACAAATGAATTTTCATTTTCAATCACATTTATCATCGATCATTATCATCATCATCATTATAACGATAATTATTGAACATTGTTTGGCAATAGGTGAATATCCGAAAAAAAGAACAACATTACGAACAACAACATATAATAATTCGGATTTTTTTGAACAAATGGAGCAACATCGAAAGATTAATAACGGTAATGATTCAATTGATCATGATGGACCATCAACTAGATCACCAACACCATCAATATCAACAGAAAAATCGTCGTTTGAGGAAGGAAGTTTTTTACAAATATTAGATTCATTTTATCGTTGGTTAGATAAATATCATCATGATGAACCAAAACGATATTGGTTAACAATGTTTACATTGGAAATTGTTTGGATTATAATCGGTTATATGGCTGGTCGTCAATTTCATTGAGAAATATAAATTTGAATAAAATCTTGTAACATGATTTGAGCGCCATCTCGTAACATTATTCATAATTAGTTTTTAATTTAACACTAAAATCAAATTAAATCAAAAAATTCTTTTTAAAATCTGAACAAATAAATAAATAAAGCCAAACGAAATTGAAATTTTGTTTTTTCTTAGTTTGATTTTTGTGTTTGCTTGATCGGAAAATTTCCAGAAAAGAAAATTTCCAGAAAAGAAAAATTCCCGAAACAAAATGAAATTTTATTTTCAATCAAATTTATCATCGATAATCATAATTATAATGATAATTATAATTATAATTATGGATTTTTGTAATCAATATTGTTTGGCAATGAAAAAAAATCATCCAAAAAAACGTAATAAACGTTATAAACGTGATATAGAATTATATGATTATGATAATCCAGAACAAGAACCAATCATTACAACGACAATGGCAAATGAAGCGCAAACTGAACAAAAAACTGAACAACCTGGACAACAAACTGAACAATCATCAACATCAACAGAAGGAAAATCATTTGTGGATACAATTTTTGGCAAATTTGATTCATTTTATCATTGGTTAGATGAATATCATCATGATTCACCAAAACAATATTGGATAACATTGTTTGCATTTGAAATTGTTTTAATTTTAATTGGTTATTGTTTAGGTCGTCAATTGACACCAAGCAGACCATAACCAAAAACATTATTCCAATTTTTTTTAGAAAAAAAAATAAAAAAAAATTTAATAAAAAAACGCCGTAACGTTATTTGTGAATTGCGCTTAGATTTATTCCAATAAGTAATTATTTTCTTCGAATATTTCAAATTATAATTGAATTTCAGATTTTCAGAATCAAATAAAAAGGAAATCAGAATTGAATGGAATTGGGAAAATAATTCGCTGTTGTTGTTTTTTTCTTTCTGGTTTCTCTGTTGAATTACACATTCTAATCAATCGATTTTCATACCTGGTCCAGCAAAATGAATTTTTTTCAATTAAATTTATCGATTATCATTATGAATATGATTCTAATCACCAACAACAACATTGAATGTCAACAACAACAACAACAACAAAAACATCGACGATTTCAACAGCAAAAACAACAACAACAACAAGAAGAATATTTTCATCAACGTGCTTCATTACAATTACGAAAAAAACAATTAAAACAAAATTTATTATATTTGAACAACATTGACAACAACAACAACAACAACAAGATAACAAAAATACCGAAACCAATAACATTATCATATAAAAATATAATCCGGAATTTAGCTAATGATCCATCATCATTAACAAATATAAAACCAAATTTAAATTATAATGATACTGATCCATCGGATAATGAATCAGAATTAGAATCAATATATGATTTTATGAAAGAAAATCCAAAAACATTTTGGATATTTGTAATACTTATTATAATGGTTATTTTTTTATTTGGTTATGCTATCGGTGGTTGTTTCAAAACAAAAAATGTAATAAATCAATAACCGAAAAAAAAACTTGAATCTTATCTTGATTTTTTGATATTAAAATTACTAAAAATTAATTATAATTAAAAGAATAAATAAATAGAAGAAAAAAAGTTTATTTTGTGATCAAGAAGTTTTCTTGGGAAAAAAAGTTTCTTTCATTCATTTTTTTTTCATAATTTGGTTTTTTTTCCGGAAAAGTTTCCGAAAATTGTATTGATTTTTTCGATCCGAAAAAAAAACAAGTTTAATCTGATGTTGTTTGGTTTAATTAACTGACAAAAACATGGAATTTTTGTTTTTTTTTCAGAAAAAAATATATCCCTAAACATCCATTAATTAACCGGGGATTCATGCAATGCGTATAAATAGCTGACAAAGCCGACTATATACACACTGATTTATCGAGAATATTTTTTTTTGTTGCTGAATTTGATCCCAGTAAATTGAAATTTTAAATTGAAAAATTTTCAATTTAACCCGAACGACAAAAATAAAAATCAAAGGTAAATTGAAAACAAAAAACACCAGAAGAATTAAGTGGAATCGCAGATGGTAAACCACAAAAATTTTCTTTTTTTTTCCTTTTAACCTTGTAAAGAATATTCCTGGTAAATGAAACAACTTTCTCTCTCTCTCTCTGGATGTTGTATGTTTTCATTCCGAAAGAATATAACGAATTTCAAATTCAATTATCAGGAGAGAGAGTAAGTGAGAGAGAGAGAGAGAAATATAGATAGAATGAAGATAGAGACATTGAAGAATTCCAGCAACAAGAATTTTTATTTGAACATTATTCTCTCTATATGCACTATGTTGATGATGATGATCATCATCATCTTGATAATGTTTGATATAGACATGCTCCAGAAAGGAAAAATATGCAGCATTTTTTCATTGTGGTTGTGGTCGGTGGCGTTGGTGGCNTCTCTCTCTCTCTCTCTCTCTCTCTGGATGTTATATGTCTTCATCCCGAAAGAATATAACGAATTTCAAATTCAATTATCAAGAGAGAGAGAGAGAGAGAGAGAGAGAGAGAGAGAGAGATAAAAATATAGACGGAATGAAGATAGAAACATTGAAGAATTCCAGCAACAAGAATTTTTATTTGAGCATTATTCTCTCTATATGCACTATGTTGATGATGATCATCATCATCTTGATAATGTTTGATATAGACATGCTCCAAAATATCAAACAAGCAAACAGAAAAAAATGCAGCATTTTTTCATTGTGGTGGTGGTCGGTGGCGTTGGTGGCGCTTATATAATCCAAACAACCACCACCATCAATAATAATAAAATTACCAGTTGGATCCAAGGCAAATTCTTTCAATTTTTTTTGTTTGGCATTTCAGGCCGACCTGTGTAGATGACGAATGCGCAAATGGCTATATCTACACCAAGAATCATCAGAATCATCACCGGTTTATTATCATCATCAACAGGAGCAGATGCAGCAGCAGCAGTAGTAAAAGTTCCAACTCGACAATAAAGTAGATGAATGATGATGATGGTGGAAAAGTGAAGAAATAATAATCATCATCATCATTGATGAAAAAATAAAAAACGTCCGGATTTACGGTAAATAAGAATATTTTTTCTTCTTGTTGTTGTTTTTTTCACTCCGGTTATTATTATTATTATTTCCCGTACGTTAATGTCGATAATCATAATCATCATCAACAGCAACAACAACAACAACGAAAATAACCGACAAACAAAAAAAATTTCATAATCATCTTGGTTGTTGTTTGTTGGCTGTTGATAATTGTTTGGTAGTTTGGTGGGTAATGATTCGAATCCATATTCAAGAACAAGAAGAGAGAGAGAGAGAGAGAGAGATTGTTGTTGGTTTGGTTAATGGGCACCCAATAACAACAACAACAACAGAATTTTCTGCACCAGAAAAAAAATATTCTGGTTATTCTGGTTATTCCTTCTGGAATCTATATATAAAAAAATTCATTTCGGTATTTGTTTGTTGTCGATTGGCAGTTGTCAGTTGTTGTTGTTGTCGTCAGTTGTTATCGGTTTTTGTTGTTGTTGTTTTTAAATTTGTTTTTTACCTGTTTGTTTTTTTGTTTGTTTGTTTCACTTTTGTTTGCCAAATTTTCATTTTTTGTTTGTTTGAAAAGTTTTAAAATTTTCCATTTTCCAATCTCTCTGTGTCATCAAAGCCAAAAATCACCATAAATCAATCAATTTTTCCATATGGCAACAGCAAGAATCGATCCAAATCAATAAAAAAATGCCGAAAAAAATATCAAAAATAATATCGAATGCAAAAAATCGTCTTAGTTCACGAACAACAACAACACAAAAATCACCACAATCATCATCGACGACATCAACAAAATTATGGGGAACAACATCAAAATCATCGACAACAATATCATCATCATCATCAAAATCAGTTTCAATTAGAACTGGTTCATTACGATCAACATGCGATTCGGATCGTTTATTATCATCAACATATGACCATCATGATGATGAAGATACTGGACAAAGACAACAACCACCATCAAGTGATTCAATATCATTAGGAATGTCAAGAAACACTGCACAGGATGATTTTGAATCACCGGATCTCGATCTATCATCATCAAGAATTCGTAGTAAAAAATTTTCAATAAAATCAAATGATGAACAACAACAACAACAACAACAACGACAAAACGATAGTGATGAACGACAAACATCGATTAATAACGATAGTGATGGAAATAATGTTCGTAAATCATTATTAAATCGATTATTTTCATTTGGTCAACAACAACAAACAAATCAACAACAACAACAATCAAGTTCTTCAGGTTATAATGAGCTTTATGATGATCATGAAAAGGTAAGTTTTTTTTTGAATCGATTAATTGATTGATTTCTGATCGATTAATCAATGAATGAATATTAGCAATCCGAATTTTCTCGACAACATTGGTGGCAATCAGAATTTCTACTGGGTACTGAAACACATGGCCCAGTTTTGTTTGGAACATGGAACGGTGTTTTCGTAACAACTGTTGTACATTTATTTGGTGTATTAAGTTTTTTACGTTTAGGTTGGCTAGTTGGTAATGAAGGTGTACCATTATCAATAGCCATTGTATTTGTTTGCCTGCTATTCAATACAATATCATTATTGGCGGCGATTGGTATTATGGAACGTTGTGCAGCTGTACAGGCTGCACAAAATGCCGGTCATTTAACACCATTTAATCCTTTGACCAATAATGATGGACAACAACAACAACAACGTTATTTTGATCCAGAATATACCCGGCAAACAGTTTCAGCACGTGCAAACATACATATTTTAATTGCAACTGTACTTGGTTCACGTATTGGTGGTGCTATATCATTAATATATTTAATTGGACAATCAGTATCATGTGCATTACATGTTACAGGTTTTAGTGAATCTTTTATACAATTATTGGCTATTTTTATACGAAGACAATTATTATCATCAACATCGATAACATCATCAACGACTAATGATGATAACAATCAATCATTATCATCGATAGTATCGAATATATCGATTGTTGATGAACAACATCAACAATCATCATTTGTACGCACATTAGCTAAATTATTATGTATTGATATTATTGAACAACAACAAAAACATTTTGATGTAACAAAACAATCGACTATTTCAACACCATCATCATCATCAATATTAATTGAAACATCAAATAATATTCAATTAATATTAAATCCAGAATCATTTCAAATTATATCAATATTATTGATTCTGATTCTATTCATAATTAATATTGTTGGTGTTCGTTGGCTATTTCGATTGCAAACATTATTATTTTTAGCATTAGTTGCTGCTGTTGGTGATTTTTCTACCGGTATTTTTCATGAACATGATGATTATGGTAATGTTTCGTTTGTTAATTTTGGAAAAAAAAGTTTTTTTTTAATTTTGAGAAATTTCCCGGTAAAAAAAAATTAGGATATGGCCCGATAAAAGCAAGTGAAAAAAATTTCCTAGAAAATTTATCACCAAATTTATGGTCAAAAACAACATTATGGTTACAATGGAGACAATTATTTGAAACTATAGGAATATTTTTCCCTGCTACAATTGGTGTTATGGCTGGTGTTAATATGGGTTCGGATTTGGAACGACCAACAAAATCAATACCATCTGGTTCATTAATGGCAATCATATCAAGTTTTGCCATACATATTCTATTTATATTTGGTTTATCATTAACATGTGAACGTTTAGCATTATTAAATGATTTATCAATTGGCCAACATATATCAGCTATTGGCGTATTTTATGCATTTGGTCTTTATATGTCAACAATATCATCTGCGCTTGGTTCAATGTATACTGCACCAAGAATAATGCAAAATTTAGCACAAGAATTACATTCAGTACCTATTGTAAGATGTTTTGCAAAGGGTAATGGTCCAAATAATAGTAAGTCGTTTTTTATGTAAATTTTTTTTACAAAATTTTAATAATGATTCCCCCCCACTTTAACCCTTCACTATAGTTCCAATCAATGCATTAATATTATTTGTATTGATTACAATTGGTTTTATTATGATTGGTGGTATAAATATTCTGGCACCAATTGTAACAATACCATATTTATTAACATATGCTGCAATTGAATATGCATATTTTTCAATGGCAATGACATTTGATATACAAATACAAAGAGAAAAACGTTTTATGCAAATTTCATCACAATTAAAAACTTCGGATTCTGATACAATGATGGCTGATGATTTAATTGATCATCAACAAAAACAACAACAATCATCATCAATGGAAATTAACATTGTTGAACAATCGAAAATAGGTGGCGCTGGTAGTGGACAATTGCCATCGTCAGCATCAACAACGATTAAACGTAACCATCATCAACCATCTGAAGATACAATATCATTAACAACATCGCTTTCAGGTTTCGGTGGTGGTGATCAACCATCATCATTACCACCACCATTATCACCATCATCTTCATCATTACAACAACAACAACAACATTTAGCTGGTTATGGTTCAATACAAAGTATAACGCAGCATATAAAAATAAAACGACGACAAAGTACACAAAGTAGTGATAGTGATATAAATGATGATCCAAATGGATCGATTATCAAATCAAACAAACAACAACAACAACAACCAAAATCAACAACAACAAAATCGACTATTTCGACTGCTGCTACTGGAACCAAAGAATCAATGATGAAAGAAAAAACCAAAACTAAAAAACCGAAAACAATTCGTCAATTAATGGCTGCTGTTAGTAATTCAGATGATGAAGATGATGATGATGATGGCCAAGATGATGATTCGGTTATAGTTGATTCTGGTGTTTCAACAACAACCATCAAAAATCAACGATCATTAATAACAAATATTAATGAAACGATAAATATGGTTAATAATCAAGATGGTGATAATGAAGATGGTGAAGATGGTCAACTGCAACGTCAAAATGATCAATTTGAATGTTTATTAATGCCAGATCCAGAATTAACAGAAATTGCTTGTAAACAAGAAATATGGTATCTACGTTTGATGAATCGTTGGATTGTATTGATTGCAGCAATAATAAAATTATTATTAATGTTTATAATTGCATGGCATTATGCAATCATTACAATGATAATGTTTTCATTATTTATTTGGATTATTGGTCATACAAATCCTGGGTTTTATCCCGGTGTCTCGGAATTTTCATTTTACAAATGGATACGTTCGATTTTTTTCCGTATTAAATCATGGTAAATTTTTGATCTCTGATCTATGATCTCTGATCTCTGATCTCTGATCTTTGATTCTTTATTCTTGATTCTTGATTTCTAATTTTTTGATTTTTTCTGATTCTAGGAAACCATGTTCGAGCTATAAAAACATTTTGAATAATAATTTAACGAACGATCCAACTAATGAATCAAATCTAATTGCATCATATTCATATGATCGTATTGTTTTACCCGAAACAGTTATGCCTAATTTTCATTATGATACTGATCAATTAACTAAAAATAATAATGATTATTCGGATCGACCACAATGTCATTTTACAACAACAATTAATCCACAATTAAATTGAATTACAATTTGGGGAGGGAGAAAAATGGATAATCTTCATTCATCAAATCAGAATCTTTAATCATCATATTCTTCATTCTTCATTCTTCGTTCAATCGATTTTTTGTTTGCATTTCATTCATTCATATGAAAACCAGAAAAAAATCTATAAAATGTTTGTTTGCTTGTTGATCATTGCAATTTCAATTTCATTTCTAAAAGCTTATTACCAAACACACACACACAGAGATTACAATAATTACAAAAATTTTAACCGAACAAAAAAGAAACAAAATCAAATCAATCAAATCGAATTACAAATTAAAAATTTTAAAAATCTTGAAATTAAAAAAAAACTTAAATTTAGAAACCATTTTCACTCAATAGATGGCGATAGCTTGACTGTTAATTTTTTTCATTTATGGAACGGGTTTTTTTTCGGAAATTTTTTTCCTGTGAAAAACGAAAACTTAATCTTTTTTTTCCAAAGGATGATGATCCGACAAGAAGAAAAAAAGGGTTATTTAGGAAAAAAAATTTTTCGTTATCAACCAGTTTATCTTGCTGCTCTCCATCTATCTCACTCTGGTTACATGATTACGAAAAACATGTTCGAAATCCTAAAAATCGATTTGATTTTGTTTTTGTTTTTTCCATCATCATCAATGCGCACGACGATCGTAATTTTTTGAATGAATATTGTTTGAAGAGACACCATTCCGAATGAAGAAGAGAATGGTGAGAGTGAATTTGAAGACGAAGAAAGAGAAATTGAATTGAATTGGAACGCAAGCGTCGTTTTCTGTCTGTTTCGCTGTTCGGTTTGTTCTTTTCGTTTTTTTGTTTTGTTTTGTTTGTTAGTTTGGCTATTTCGAGATTGTCTTTTGAATGAAACCATCTTCTTCCATCGTGCAACACAGCGATGAAATCCGATGAAACTTATCGACGAAAATTTTCGTGGTACGGTGAATTCAAAAAGAAACATTGATTTTTCCGAAATTCGGTAACAACGACGGGTTAAATTCTTGGCAGGTTTTTCTGTGTTGACAAATTTCATTTCTCCATTGTGAAAATGTGAATTTTTTTTTCAAATTGTGATCAAAGCCATCGGATAAGGGTTTTTTCCTATTTTAACAAACCAATGATACCGGAATCCAATCAAATCCAAGCTGATTGTGTGTAAATAGTCAAAATAGTCCAAATATCCAAAGAAAACATTCATTTTTCTAATTATCATCATTATCATCAAAAAATAAACTATAAAGGTAAGTTTGATCATGAAATTTTCTTCTTTCTTTTGCTGATTTCATCAAACAAATCAGAAGTTCAACATAATAATGAAAGTTCATGTTGTAATTTTCAATTGTTGTTGTTGTTGTTGTTGGTTAATTTGTTCAACAACAACAACAACAGAAAAAAAATGTAAATTTTGGATCACGCAAATGAAATTCATTTCATCCATTTCATTAAGAAATTAAATTGAACTCTTTTTCTGCCCTTGTTCTTTGTCCTACACACACAACAACACACCTACCCGAACTTTTGATGATTATCATCAACAACAGACAATGATTAGTTGGTTGGTTGATTTGATGATTGTTGATTGTTGATTTGAGGTTTTGAAATGAATTTTTTGTTTTGGAAAATTAAAAAAACATAGTTATTGATTCGCTAAGGCTGTTGATGAGGATAATGATATTAATGGATGACCCTAAGGCCTGTCCTAAAACTTTGGAAACATTTCCTTTCCCTTCCTTTCCTTGTTTTACTTTGTTTTCTCGATTATTGATAATGAAAATAATGATAGTTTCGTGGCCAACTATCATAACAAGCATATTGAATAATGACCATCATTATCATTGATCTACAGAGGGTGGACAATGTCCATCGATATCAATCACCTTGTTTTCAATCAGATCCAAGAACAACATTTCCTGTAAATTATCTTTTTATTTTTTGATTAAACAAAAACAAAGATTAATTACAAGGAAATTATAGACCATATTCGGTGTTTGTTTATGTGTTCTGAATAAATCATTCGATAATTATTGTGTAATGATGGTAATTATTGATAGTATCGATAGTATCGATATTTTTTTTTATTGATCGTGATGAATAATTACATCATCACCATTACATTTATGATTATTATCCAAATCTGATTTTGGACAAACAACAAAAATCAGACAAACAACAAAAAATTTGCCAAAAATTTTCATATTTGGAAATTTTTTGATGAAATTTTCATTCATTTTTTAGATCAAATTATGTCTATCATCCTACATGAAATATTTATTACATAATAATGGTCGTTTGTTTGTTTTTTACGGAAAAAAGTTGTTGACCAAACATCATCATCATCGTCTGATGAAATCTGATACTTTTTTCGTAATCAAACATTGAGCAAAAATTTAATTACAAGAAAAAAATGGTCATTTTTTGATATTAATAAAATTTGAAAGCGTGAAAAAAATCCTAATCAATAAGGATCATCATCAAATAATGATGGATCATTCACAGATAACGATATCCAAATTTACTAATATATCCGACCTGGTTAATTTGTAAATCATTATCATCATCATTAGGTTTATTTTTGTGTGATTTGAATTGAATGAAAACAAACATTTTGAGGTCAGATTTGGAAAGAGAAAATTGAAATTGAAAAATTTATTTTTGAATTTTAAAAGAGTTTTTTTTGATTCATTTTTTTCTGGTTTTTTGATTTTTGATTTTTGACAACGAACATAAAGGATCATCAAAGATCCTTGTTTATTTCTGCTGCTTCTGCTGATTATCGTTATGTATAACATCATCAGTTTTCTAAAAATAAACCAAAATTGAAATAACCACACTAACCGTAACCAATCAAATGATCAGATGTCAATCAAATTTTTGTTTCTTTTGGTTTTTGTTCAGTGGAAAAAGTATTCATGATTTGAATATCTAAAATGAAGTGAAACGAAATTAATTTTCGACAGAAATTCGTTTAAATTATTCATTAGCATCGTTTTTCATTATTAAAAACAAAATGATTTTAGCCACGTGGCTAAGGAATTTGCCACACATAAAAATATGTAGAAAAAACTGAAAATTAAATGAAAAAAATAGCATCATTGTAAAACATTTGGAAAAAAACCATTAACCTTAAACTTTATACTTTATACTTCTTCTGTGTGTCTGATGATGATGATCATTTATCTTTATTTAAAAACTTTAGAGAGAATCTATTGAGAAAAATGAAAAGTTGTCTTGTGTCAGAATCGTTCTTTATTCGTGTGTCTTTTTGCACTAATCTTCCTTGTTATTTTCAATCACGTTTTCTCTTTCTATGTATAGATATTTCATATTTTCATTTTCATATCTTTTTTCTCCCTTACAATTCTGTTATTTAATGCTAGGTAACACACTTACTAATCTATCCCACACAAACAATTCTTTTCAATTCTGTATTTTAATAATTTCTTTCGCTTTTTTCGATGGAAATCTGAAACACTGTTTGTACTGGGATAAACGAGGGAAAATAAAAATCAATTTTTCGTTTGAATCATTTTCTCGTTGTTTGGGTGGCTGACTGGCTGGATGATATGTTTGTCTAAAATATTAAAATGTTATGATGATGATGATGCTGAATTATTATATAATCATCATTTGTGTTTATGTTCACGTATTTACAATGTTTGTTTTTTTTCTTTCTGCTGTTTTTTTTTACCCGTGATGCTGGATATTCTTGATTCTTGATTCTTAGGTCGTGATATGAGCGAGCGAGCGAGAGAGTGAGAGATATGAATTCTGTTGGCATCCCGACCATCTGGTTCATCATATTTTTTTCCATTCGTTCGTTCGTTCGTTTGGATCAATTGTAGATAACGATTCCTTTTTTTTCCCTAGTTTTGGGTTTTTCGTTTTGGACCAGAATTTTTGATTTGTTTCAGCTTCTGTTTGTGATTCTGTATTCTCTCTCTCTCTCTCTAGTTACTTGTGTGAAATTCTTCTTTTCTGTGTTTCAGTTGTTGGCTGCTGGTTGGTTGCTGCTAAGTATGATAAATCATTGCATACCAACAACCAATGCAGAGGAGAGAGATATTGGGAAAGAAAAACTGAAAGTTTCAACTGAAAACATTTTTTTTGTGTAATTTATGAAATTGAAATAAATAAAAAAAATTTAACAGAAAAAAAAGTTTTTATTTTCTTTAAAAAATTTATTAATTATTTAACAACCAGAAATTATTATTATCAGTTTTTTTGGCGAAAATTATACCAACAAAATACCAACAACAAAAAAAAATCACGAAATTAAATTGTGAAATTGAGAAACAAAAAACAAAATCACCAATCAAAAATGATCGATGTAATCGATATGATTCTAGACACGTTCATTGTTTTGTTTTCCGAACACACACACACACAAAAGAATCCAGAATTTGATTCTCTCTCTGTGTGTGTGTGTACGTTACATAACAATAATTCTGGTTCAAACAAAGAAGAATCCTGCCAACAAAATTGAGAAAAAATCAAATACCGCAAATTGATTTCAATTTTACCAAAAATTGACGACATCTGTTTGTTTCTCTCCTCTCGGTCTTTTGTTATTATGGATAAAAAGATATTGATTTTTTGGGAAAATTTTGTTTTCAATTTTCAAAACAAAACAAAGAAAAAAGTGCTAAAAACTAAAATCAATTTTTGTCAAACACCCTGTACTATGTAGCAGTACTTATTCAAGTACAGGGTGTTTAGAGTTTTTTCTGGTCTGGTCTGAATAAAATAACCATTCTTCTTTTTCCTTTCAAAATTAGTCAATAATCGATTTTTTTTTTTGACATCTTATCGACTATTTTAACATACTTGAACAGAAAGATAATAGTTTTTCTTCTGTTCTTCAAAAGTCATTATAGTCAAATCATCATCATCATCATAATGATAACTACTATATGAAAATTTTTTACTTTTGTCTTCCTGACATTATCTTTAACTTTTAACTTTCTACTTTTTTAAGAATGATGTTCCAAAATTGTTTTTTTTTGTTTTTCCAGTTGATGGTGATGATGGGTTGATTTTTCTTTTTCGGCCAAAATGTCCACCACTTTTGTCCACCATCAAATATCGATTTTAGCTAGGTTTTCAGTTTGTTGACAAACGAAAAAGGAAATAAATAATTATCATAATGGTCATTTTTTTGGGCTGTATTTTACTAGTTTCTCTCATCAAATGTAACAGAATTTGTTGATAAGATTGTTACATGTCGCATCAATTTTCCAAGCGAAAAAAAACTAACCAGAAATTATTTCCTTCTGGTGACAAATCTTTTTCTTTCGTCTCATTCAGTAATTTTCATCCTGGATATTACCCATTATTATAATGATGATGTGTGACACGTGTGTATCACAAACGGTAGCATCCGTTGATGATTTCTTATTTTTTTCGGGTAAAAAAAAAAATATTTCGGGTTGATGACTTTTTCAAACAAACAATAGTTGAAAGAACTAGTTTTGATAGTAGTAGTAGTAATTTGAAGTAGTAGATAGCTACTACTATTTTTTTTGCTGTTGTTGGTAATGTGTGATGTATGCATGAATGGATCCTGGATTCTGGATTCGAGGAAACCAATTTTTCAACAACAAAAAAAAAGAAACATCCCAAAAGCAATTTGCATTTCTCTCTTTTACATGAGATACTAATCTTCTTAAATATTCTGCATTAGAATCATCCTGATGATGATCATTCACTGCGAACACAATTCTGGATTCTTGATTCTGTCTGGTACGTGAAATAGGGAATAAAACTTACGAGTTTTGACTCTGATTACTTTTTTGCTTTTCTTTTCTTAGTTGTCAGTGATTGATAAGTGTGTGCTGTGTGTTTATCGTTTTCATCGTTTTGGTTATCTGTGTTTATCTTTTTTTTTCTGGAAACTTTTTTCAAGTTGTTGTTCAATGATGTTACGATTTTGATTTTTTTGTTTTTATGGATGCACGTTTTTGTCAAAAAAGAAAATGTTAAAGTTTTCAAAGATGAAAAAAACAATGTCAGGTCTTTTTTTTTGAAAAAAGTTTTGAAAAAAAGAAAAAAACTTTCCGTAAAAGAAAAAATCTTTCCAAAAAGATTCTTTGATGATTAATTTGATACTTTTCCTTCTCCTTCCAATTGAAAAATGAAAAAAGAAAAACTTATTAACATCCGACATTCCGACAATGATTATCGTCATTGTAATTCTTCTCTTCCGATTCTTTTCCTCCTTTACTTTTCAATTTTGAAACAGAAATCTTTATGGGAATATTCTTGTTGTTGTTGTTGTTGTTATTATTATTTATTATATTCGTTGATCATCCATAAATCAAACACACAAACATAAAGTTTGTCGACACTTATTACAAAAAATACATACACTAAGTGTGTTTGTGTATGACATGACAAATAACTAAGTGTGTGTGTTGGATGGAAATGTTTCCGAAAACAGATATAATTCCAGATTCCAAAAATGTATTTTCTTTTTTTTCCGAATATGAAATGGAAAAAAAAATACCATAAATAATATACAAGGGAGGAAAATGATGATGATGATGATGAATTCTTTGGATGATTCCATTCAACCATATCCAACTTTAGTTTGATTGATTAAATTGAATTGTATCAATTCGACTATTTCGACCCTATCCGAATTGAATTAGTAAAAAACCAATGGGAAAAAAACACAAAAATTTTTTTTTTATCGTTATATAATTAGATTGAATGATTATCATTTTCAATGATCACGATCAATTCTGTGTAAATATTAATCTCTCTCTCACACACACACAGTGTACGTACGTTTTTTGCTGTTGCTGTTACACTATCGATTATATATCGAAATCAATTAGGAAAATCAATTTGTTTCGTCAGAATCGATTCTGCAAACATACACACACATCTATCGAATGGATAGCCAAAAGAATGGTTCCGTAGAATTCGTTAGTTTTCGCTAAATGTTTTCAAATGTAATTCGGGTAGCAGCAGCAGCAGCAGAATTCACTCATGTGCTTTTTCCCTTCACTCATTTTCCGCATCCTTTTTTTGTTTTCACTGATTTTTGTTTTCCACGAGGCAAAATAATTAATATTTAATAATAATCTTTTTGCATCATCAAATTTTTCTTGTTTTGTTTTGTTTAGGTTTAATTGTTTTTTTTTGTTTTGTGTGTGTGCTGCGTTAGTGTTAATTAATTTCTTCCTTCCAGCATCATGATAATGGCAGTGTGGTGATGATGATGATGATAAACAAGACAAATTATTCAACCAAAAACAAAAAAATTCCGAACAAATAACATCATCACTATTTCGACATTAGTATCATGAATAACCTTTTTTTTAAATAAAAAAAACATAAAGGTCTATATAGTCGACTTTTTGATTAATTATAGTCTTTTTGTTTATGCAAAAACTTGCTTGAATTTCATTGATTTAATCCTTTTGTCGTTTCGGGGTAACCCAAAAAAAGGAATTTGTTTTTTCAATGATTCTTGTTACATAATGGTTCCAGGAACAAAGAATCAAAAGTGAAAAAGCAATTTTCATGTTCTGACATTGAAAAAGGATTCTGGATTCTGCATAATCAAAAATCATTATTCTTTTCACCGAGGTTGATTTAATTCCAAAAAAAAGAATTTTTTCGGAAACCAAAATTCCTAGAAGAAAAGAAACTTTCTTGATTCATCCATCATCATTATGATGATTTCCCAATTGAACATCAAGGAAGTTTTTTCTCAATTTGCTTCATTATCATCATCACGGGATTCTTAATCCATTGATCTATCAAAAGTACGTGTGTGTAGGTGGGTGAAAATGTTCCTGAAAAACTAGAAAAAAAGTTTTCGGAAGAAAATTTCTCCAAAACTATTCCTCAATTTGAATTGAATTGAATTTGAGGCATTCTTATGGGACCAATTCGCTTGAAAAAAACGATTCAATTTTTGTCACATTGTAATCAAATGTTTTATCTTTTTGCTTTCATTACTTTTTAGCAACTGAAAACAAAAAACGATGATTATGATGTGAGATTAAACGATGATAATAAAAAAGCACATCGTAGTCGTTAAATGATGTTTTTTTTTGGAAAGAATTCTGTTGTTATCTCTTACCGTTGAAGGAAAACAATAACTACTACCGAAAATTACTGACCAGTTACTGCTCTTTTCACTTGCATGTTCGTAAATTTCGTTCTTTTGTTTTCGTAAATGAAAAGAAGATTAAATTGAATTAAATTAAATTTTGTGATTACGATGATGATGTTGTTATAAACACTTTACGTTTACACAAAGGCATCATTTTTGGTAGAAAGATTGAAAACAAAAAAAATTTTAAAATGTTTTTTTGCTCTTTGCTATGTGTGTGTGTGTCCATTTTTATCGTTTACTTGGCCAAAACAAGAAACTTTACGGAAAACTTTTCCATTAAATTGGTGGAATTTTAATTCCCAAAAGATTTCTTTATTTATTCAACAAAATAATAATTTAAAAGTCGACATTGATGCTTGCCATTCGCTCGTTTCTGAATATTTCATTTTCGTTTCTGTGTTTTGAAAAAGGGTCCATTGAGAATATCTTTTCGACTATTTTGACTCTTGTCGTTTGTTGTTGTTTTTGGCTGTTAGATTCCAAAAAAAATTGGTTACAAAAATTTAAATTTTTTCAAATTAATTCTGTTGTTTGATTTACAGGAAAAAAATTTTTGACAAAAAGACAACAGCAAATTCTATGGAATATTCTTTCGCGCATGTGCAATATTCAAATTCTGTGTATTTTCGTCTTCTGTTTCTTCTTCTCACTATTCTTACGCTTTATTGCATCTATTCATCATCAAGAAGAAATAAAAAATAAATTGATCTAACAATGGGAAAAAGTATTGTTGTTGTTGTTGTTGTTCATTTTCAGAATCTGGAGAATATGGATTCAGTAAGATAAGAGTATTTTTTGGTTTATAAAAAAAACGATCCAAAAAACGACATTCTCAAACAATCATAATTTGTTCTATAAACACAGTGACTGTGTTATTTGCAATTTGATAAAAAAAATGAGACTCAAATGTGGATGAAAATTGTCGAGTAAATTCTGTGATGATTTCCAAATTCATTCATTCATTGGGTAATTGAGAATTCTCTCTATGATGTTCCTCAAAAGAATATTCTTTTTGGATCGATTATATTGATTATTATTATTATTATGAATTCTGGCTGCTTCGTTATAATCTTTGCTGTGTGTTTTTGAATGATTCTTTTGAAATGGATGCTTGAAAGTTTTTTTTGTTTTTTGTTTTTTGTTTGGCTTTATTCGATGCGGATGATGCTATTGTTTGTTTAAATGTGTAAAAGAAAATCTGAAATTTTGTTTCAGGAACAGAGAAACCAAACAAACAAACACCCTCCGCTATTTCAACTCAAACAGCAAAATCAACAATATGTTTGTATAGTTGTTTTTACGGGAAAAAAACTTCAAAATCAGAAAAAAAAATTTCCATTTTTTTCCCCTTTACAAAATCCAACAGATTTAACACTTTGAACCAATAGATGGTTTTTCCCCCATCGACTGCCTTAAAAAAAACCAAATGATATTATCTATTAATCATTAACCCGTTATACATATGCGTGTGTGTGGCGGCTATTTTTACAATCATGGTTATTATCATCTCTTTTTTTCCGTTAATTTTTATTTATAGCCAAAAAAAAAAAAAAAATCAAAACCAAAACCAACCAAGCGAACTGAAAAAAGCAAAATCATTATCATCAGGAGATTTTCGATGATAACAAAATAATGAATTCAATAATAATCAACAAAAATACTGCTGCTTCGGATGATGATGATGATGAAATGACCATTTGTTATCATCATCATTGTTCATCGTCGTCATCATCATCATTAACAACTTCGATGATAAAATATCATCAACAACAACAATGTCTTTATAATCAATCATGGCGAAAATGTGTTAAATCAAGAAAATCTACTTCGACAATTATGACTTCCAATGATGATGACAATAATAATAATCGTGGTAATGAATGGTTAACAATGGTGGTTAATAAATGTTGGCCATCGACAGCAACAATAAACAGATGTCAAAGTGTTAAACGACAACAACAACAGAAAATGAATTTTCTATTCTTGATGATAATGTCATTATTTCAATTAAAATCATCTTTTTTGATAATGTCCACCATGTTAATGATGATGATGATGATGATGGTGATGGCCAATGATAATATTAGTCAACCATCATCGAATTCATCATCATCGATACAATCGATACAATCGATATTGCCAACAGAATATTTTTATGCTCAAGATAAATTATCGGATTTTCAGGTTGAAAAATTTTATTCAAAAAAATTTAATTTCCAAAATAATAAAACTATTAAAAATGAAAATTCTAGTCTACATCGTCAACCATCATCAACATTATCATCATCGTCGAAGATGATGACCATCAATAATCGTCAACAACAGCATAGTTTATCATTGTTAACGCCCAATGATGATAATATCACTGCTTTAAAATATCAACTGCCAAATATAATGATTAATCAAAATCAACAAAATGATGATAATAATCATAGGCTACCTGAAGATCCACATCAAAATGATGATTATTCACAATGGTTAAGGCCTGTTTATATTCCACCCAAACGTTCATCATCATCATCATCATCGTTGATGGAAACAAATCAAACAGCATCATCAATTTTATTGTTTGGTTCGGATATGATTCAATCATCATCATCTTCGTCGTCGACTATTTCCACATCAAATACATCCATCCATAATAATAATGATAAAAATTACAATTATTTATTTAATAAAACATCAAATTTACAATTACAAAAACAACAACAATTTAAATTTGAATTAAAAGATGAACAATGGGTTGCACCAATTATTGCATTATCAACATTAAATATGTTGGTTATTTTTGCATTCGAATGTTTTGTTATTTATCGAGCTTGTCGGTAAGTTTTTGTTTTTTTTGAAAGTTTCTCTGGAAAGTTTCTCTTGACATTAGTTTAATAAACAATGTAATGAATTGATTGATTGATTGATTGAAGTTGCTATTGGTTAAAAGAAAATTGCCTTGTTACTTGTTTGTTTTCCAAAGCTAATCAATCAAAATTAAATAATAATAAAAAGATAAAAGATTTTCAGGAAATTTTCCCTGTTTTATTGTACACTATACTTAGGGTAGAAATAGATGTTTCATATTTCTTTTGACATTTGTCATTTTTGTTCACAAAATTGATAGTTTTTTTCTCCTTAATTGAATTAAATTGTAATTTACTGTCGATTAATAAAATCGATCAATATTGATTGATTTTTTCATTTACTTTTACAAAATGATAAAACTCTTTATTTATTTATCTAATTTTACTTTATTCTTTTTTTCCTATTTCAACAGAACATGTCCATCAAGACGGCATTTATTTTTAGGACAAATGTTATTATTCGGTCTATTTCTTTCATCAGCAATGGGCCTAACATTCGTACCAAAACCAACATGGTTAAGTTGTACAATGATACGTTTAGGTTTCGGAATTAGTTTTTCGATTGTTTATGCATCATTATTAGTGAAAACAATATTTTTATTATCATTACATCAAGGTTGTTATCTTAGTGCTGAATATCAGGCATTATTATTATTTTTTATTATTTCAACACAAATTGCTATCGATATACAATGGTTATTAAATCAACGGTCAACATTAATTATTGATTATTGGGATGGTTTTGGCCAGGCTGTTTATCGTTGTGATCATTCTACACAAAATTTACTTTGGTCATTATCATATATCATATTATTAATTGGTAAGTAGTAACTATTTTCCACTTTTTTCATTATTCAATTTAGTCTAATTTAATAAAGTGGTCACGTGTGTGTGTAGAAATAGAATCGAATGTTTTTTGATTCGTAAAATTAAATTTTCGTTTTTCTTTTCCGTTCTATTTCTACCCAATTTAGCCATTCTATCAATAATGACATTTCGTATACGTGGTTATCGTGAAAATCATGGTGAAGCATTATTTTTAGGTATCGTATCCATACTGCAAATATTTGTTTGGTTTGTATGGATAACCGGTACAATGACAAGTACACCACATTATCGTGATGGTTTTACTGCATTTGGTATTGTTGCAAATGCAACAATGATTTTTATGATAATGTTTGTACCAAAAGGTAGACAATTAGCTGCTGTTGGTGGTCGAAATAGTCATGGTCATTTTAGTCATCATAATAATCATCAAAATGATGGTTCCGGTGGTGATAATGATGATGATGATGATGGTCATAATGTTTTAGCTGTAACAGGTGTTTTAGATCAATTATCATCATTAGGTTCATCACCATCAATTTATTGTGGTATTGGTGGTGTTGGTGGTCAACATTCATTTTTAAATTTAAAAAGTGGTTCAATATCTGGTCAAATGGCATCCATAAATCATCAAAATCACCATCACCTTAAACATCGTAATAATAAACAATCATCATATGCATATCATATATCGAACGGTATAATCGATAATAACAATCGATTATTATCATCGATACCATCATCGAATAATAATAGTTCATTAACATCGGCTACATATTATAATTTATATCAAAAATTCAATAATCATCAACAGAATAATGGTACGGATACATCATTAACAACAAGTCCAGAAGGTATTGGTACAACATCGACTACATTGACAGCAATGAATGGTCAACAAGGTCAAAATAGCTGTAGTGGTCAACAAACACGATCAACATTATCAAATAGTTTTAGTAATAATGCTATTTCGACTGTATTTAATTATCAACAACAACAACAACAACAATTTTTAGATAAAAACAACGATCATGGTGATAATTTCGATAACGACATCGATGATGATGATGATGATCCAAATTATTCAAATTTATCAACAATATTTACATCATCATCATCATCTACAACAACAACAACAAATATAACAACAACAACCGCAACAACAACAACAACAACCGCAACAACAACAACAACAACAACAACATTATCATCAAAAGATGATGATAACGATATGAAAACTAGTCCAATTAGTGAAAATAATTCTAATCATTCTTCATCGTCGACATCATCACAATCATCAACATCAACATCATCGGATCCTGTTCATAAACAACGTGCACTGCCATTACCATTATCATCATCATATCATCAATTGAAAACAAAACAGGAACGAAATTCAGGAATTTCTAATATGATCAAACAACAACAACAACAGCCGATTATGTCGCCAAACGGTAAGTGTCGCTTTGTGTCTGTGTTATCTATTTTTTGCTGCTGCTTTCACTGATGTTGTATGGCTTTATTTCCTTGATTTTCTCACAAATTCAATTGAATTTAAGTTAGTTAAGATTTGCTTTGTTCTGTTGCTGCAAAAAAAGTGATATTTTTGGCTTCTTTCTTTGTTTTTTGGCTTCTTGTTTTTTGTTTTGTCTTGCTTTTTGGCTCTTTCACCGGATTAACGATGATATTACCAAAGAAAAATTCATTCACCAGAAACAAACAAATAGAAAAAAGAATTAGCAGGCTTCTTTGTTTTGCTTTCGTTATTTATGAATGGCTTCCTTATCTAACATTCATTCATTCATTCAAAGAAGTTTCATTCATTCATTCAATATTTTCTTTTCCTTCTTTATCTTCCTTTACCAATCAACCAAAACCAACAAAAAACGAAAAAACCAAAGAAATTCAACAAAAATTTAAATTACTTCAAATTGTGTAAGTTTGCAAAACCCTTTATTGTTTCTATTTCTATATATTTTGTTTCTTGCTTTTGATAAAAGTACCCTGTGAGAAACTTTCCATGAAAGTTAAATAAATGGATTCATATCCTTATGATTTAACAATGAAAAACAAAACAGTAAAAACAAACAAAACAAAACGGCGGAAACTTTTTTTTATTTATTTTAAGCCGACCAACCGACTGAAATTGAGATCTATTTTTAATAACGACGACGACGATGATGATGATGATTGTAATGTCAAAATTCATTCATTCATTTTTTTCAGTTGTAAATAATGATTGAATGGATAATAATAATTTTGTTGTTGTAAATATCAATCTCGGATAAGGATCGTTCAGTAAAAATAATAAGAGAAGGCGGAAACTATCGATTGTTTGTTTTTTTGTGCATAACTATCGATATCCATAATGACCATCATCAATCTATTTTTAGATCAATCTTTTTTTCAGTTTTTTTTTGAAAAAAAACTAAATTTTTTATGTAAATTTGATCATCAAAATTAATGATGACGTACGAAAACTAGAAAACAAAAAAAAACATTAAAATGTCAGCACCGTTATCTAGATTGAAAGCTGATTGGCATGCAGAATTTCGTTTCGTTTCTTTCTTTCTCTGAATGAAAAATGACGAATGACGAATGATGATGATGGCTATCCACACCCAAAAATGTTTTTTAACATTTTCCTCATCACCATCAACGTCGCTCTTGATAGAAATGGTGGGGGTGGGAGTGGATGAGACGAAAGGGGAAAAAAGACAACGATGACCATATGTCAATCATGTTTTTTTAGTTTTTTCCAGGATCTACCTTTAAATGGACAATTTTAATGACGACAACAACAATCGATGATGATGATAACTATGATGGTTACAAATCGATCCATTTGGATCAATTTTTTTTTTTGCTGAAGGAAAATGATGTTATTTTCTCTCTCTCTCTCTCCCTCTATTATCATCATTGTGTTCAATGATGATGATGATCAGAAAATGATTGATCGATCGATCAATCATTTTTCTTTTCTTTTTTTTCACATATAAATCCATTATTTAATTAACCTTATTATTATCGATTATTATAGACAGAACCAATAAGGTTAGAATAGTGAATGAATGAATGATAAGTGAAGTGAACAAAACGATGAAACAAGAAAAAAAAATTGATGCGGCATCATCAATGCGATCCGATCAATCATTATGAGATGTAACATAATTTGACAAATATTTGATACTTTCTATCGATTTAGGCATCATTTTTGATCATCACAGCTTAACAACTTGCAAGAAAAAAAAATTCTTTCCAAAACACTGATATTTCTGGGAAATTTCCGATTATTTCCCCCCTTCAGAAATATAATTTCTCAAAAAAAGTTTAATGAAATGAATGAATGAAAGAGTTGTTGGACAAAAGATCAGGAAGCAGCGGGATGTTTATTGGATGTGATGTGATGTGAAAATGAAATTTTTTTTTTTGGTTTTGGCAATAACAAAAATTTCATTTGAAACTTTATTTTTCCGTTTTTAATAATGAAAAAAATAATTAATTAATTTTTCGCTTGGATTTTCAACTATTTTTTTTTTGGTCGACTATTTCCACACAAACAAGCAAATAGACATTAAATTCTGTTCGGTTGTTCAAAAATTTATTGAAAAAATTTCCAACTGTAAAGACACAAAGATTATGTTATTTTAATAAATGTTTCTATTTTTACCCATTTGGTATTTCACATTTTTCTCATTTTTCTCACTTTTTCTATTTCCACTTACACTTTGGTCCATATAAAGTTCTGGGTTGACAAATTTGAAAATTAAATCAAGTTCTTTGAACAAAAGTTGAATAGATATTCTCATTGGTTCCAGAATATCTGAGCAAAGACAGAATTCATTGCAAAAAAACACACACAAAAATCTGGAACAATGATCATCATCACCATAATCAATGAAATATTCTGTGTGAAAATTCTCTTTTTGTGAACCAAGAATTTTGTTTGTTTCTCTTTCTCTCTCTCAATTCACGCCAACGCCTAGTGATTAGTTATTCTGGGTCGACGTTCCCGTTGTTGTTGTTGTTGTTGTTGTCGTAGTTTGTGTCTCAAAGAATAATGTGATTCCCGGATAATGATTATTATGTGAAATACCTTTGAAAATTTTCAAACATGTCATTTTTTAGTTGACATAATTTTAGTAAGTTTTTCGAAAAAGAAAGCCAAAAAAAGTTCCTGGAAAAAAAATTCGGGAAATTTTCTCGGTTAAAATGACATTTTCGTTATGTTTTCGATATGAAAACAGTGATTAGAATTACAAATGATGATGATGATCATCATCATCAACAACGAGGATATTTACCACATAATCATTATGATTATCCAATAAACATTTATATCGATCTTTGTTGTTGTTGTTGTTGTTGTTGTTGTTGTTGTTGTTGTTGGTTATTATTCTAATAATAATAATAATCAAATAGAAACAAATAACATCTGGAATTCTTCGATTCTGTTACTGTTTTCTTTTCCCAATTCCTTCTTTGGTCAATCAAAAAAATATCATGTTCGAATATTTCGACTATTTTAACCCCCCCTTCCCCACACACATTCAAACATAGTAGGAAAGACACAGAATATTCTTTATCTGTGATCGAAAAAAATGGAATTTTTTATATCAGATTCTGTGTTGCGTTTACAAAAAAAACATTTATTATTTTATGATGATTACGATGACCATTTCGACCCCAACCGATTCGGACAAACTTTTTCCAACAACAAAAAAAAATTGAAAATATTTTCAGTAAACAACAACATTGGTATAGCTGGATTAGTTTCTCTGCAAGATAACAAACAAAAAACTGAATTGAATTATCATCATTTAGCAAAACCTATGACATTACTTACTTACCTATCTACACACAACTATGACATTTAGGATTAAAATAGCAAAACAGACAAAAAAAGAAATGTTTTTTTTTCCGAAACATAAAATTCTGTTGTTTTTTTTGGTTGAAAATATTAATAAAGAATATTTTCATTTCATATTTTCGAAAAGAATTTTTTTTCTTTTCTTATCGGTCGACTATTTCGACTTGATGGGCTTAACTTGATTATTTTTTCTGGTTGTTTCGCTCTACGGAGATAAACTAACCAACGTTAATGTAAAAATCATTATCATCATCGGTCGATTTTTTTTTGATCTTTTCAAAAAGTAAAAAGTAAAAGTAAAAATATGGAAGGCAAAGCAAAGGAAGCAAATTAATTTACAATCAAGATTAATGATGCGCATTCATCGAATCATCTATAGAATTCTGCGTTGGCCATAAGCTTATTCGTAATGTTATTTAATGTTGGCAAGCTGTTTAGCATCATCCATAATAATTTTATGAAAGTAAAATATTTTTTCTACTTGGTTAGATCGACTATTTTCATCTGATAATGATTCCTTCATATCCAAAAACTTTTTTTCCACTATTTCTACTCTTTATGCTTCATCAATTCATAGAATTTCTTGATTTTATTAATTTCTTGATTTTTGATTTTTGATTTCTTTGATTTTTTTTCACTCCAAACAGATCCTACGGCCATACAATCATTACAATCATCGACTATATTAACAAAATTATTATTACAACAGCCACCGAAAAATGCAGGTAGTGGTTTTTTCTATTTACAACCACCACCATTACCTCCGTCATCATCATCATCATCAACATCGGTTCCTGCGGCCACACCGCAGCCATCAACGACAGCAACGACCGCGATTGATTCAACCATAATGAATGGTGGTGGCGCTGCTGGGATATCATCACGTCAATCATATCGTCAATCATGTTATACAGCTCAAGCAGCCATCGGTGTTAATCATCATCATCATCGTCATCCACATCATCATTACAATCATTATTATTCCGGATCAAAATCTGGTTTATATCAACCTCATCCATCATTACAATTACCATTACAACCATCATCATCATCATCATTATTATTAACACCATCAACACCAACTGGTTTGATAACACCGATTGGTCATATGCCACCACAGCAATTACAATTAATTAGTCCAACAACAACAACAATTCAGGATTCAAATCAACTAAATTTACAACAACAATTTGGTTATTATTTTGGTCAATTTGATCAAAGAAATGGTCAACAACAACAACCAACAAAACAACAACAAATGGTAACATCACCAAATGGTCAACAACAACAGCAACCAAATTTTAAATATTTTCTTGGCCAACATTATTGAACAACAAAAGCGACGAAAAAAAAAATGAAAATCACGAATCGCAAATAATAATCGAATCAAAAACATTATTATCAAATATATCGACTATATTAACTTAAACTGCCTCCAGGGAATCATTATTATTATCATCGACATAATAATAATCATCATTGACAATAATAACATTATTCTCAATTCCCAAGTGCGTGATGATTACGGTAGAAATAGTCGATAAAGTCGTCAAAGATGATGACGACGATAATAATGATGACCGAATTATGGCCAAGCAACGGATCAAGAAGCATCATGCAAATACACATCATCATTATGAATTTTTTTATTATTCTCGCAACCAAAAATGGTTTCTTCTTTTTTTTATTTTCATCATTTCTTTCAAATAAACAAAAAAAATTTTTGTACATCAGTGCCAAAACAAAGAAAAAAAAATCACAATAAAATTCAAAAAAACCAAAAAAAAAAAAAAAAAAAAAAATTATCGACCCAAAAATTCAAATTTTTTATCCAGNAACTGGTTTGATAACACCGATTGGTCATATGCCACCACAGCAATTACAATTAATTAGTCCAACAACAACAATTCAGGATTCAAATCAACTAAATTTACAACAACAATTTGGTTATTATTTTGGTCAATTTGATCAAAGAAATGGTCAACAACAACCAACAAAACAACAACAAATGGTAACATCACCAAATGGTCAACAACAACAGCAACCAAATTTTAAATATTTTCTTGGCCAACATTATTGAACAACAACGACGAAAAAATCAAAAATCACGAATCGCAAATAATCGAATCAAACATTATCAAAATATATTATCGACTATATTAACTTAAACTGCCTCCAGGGAATCATTATTATTATTATCGACATAATAATAATCATTGACAATAATAACATTACATTCTATTCCCAAGTGTGTGATGATTATGGTCGAAATAGTCGATAAAGTCGTCAAAGATGACGACGATAATGATGACCGAATTATGGCTCCCCCCCAAAAAAAAACAAACAACGGATCAAGAAACATCATGCAAATACACATCATTATTATGAATTTTATTTTATTATTCTCGTAACCAAAAAAATGGTTTCTTTTTCTTTTTTTTTATTATCATCTTTTCTTTCAAACAAACACACACACACACACACACAGAGCAAATTGTGCCAAAACAAAGCAAAAAAAAAATCACAATAAAATTCAAAAAAAAAAACAAAAAAAAAAATTCAAATTATCGATCCATAAACATCACACACACACACATATTCACAAAAGACGTGCACCACACAAAATTCACAAAATACGTATCACGCATTCGAATTCGAATGTTTTTTTTTATTTGACATCAAAAACATTTTATTTTGACATCAAAAATGCCTACAAGCTAAATTGGATTTTGTAACAACAAGTAAAAATGATTTTACAAAAAAAAAAAATCAATGTAAAAAATAACTGCATTTGTAATAATAATCACATAATCATAATAATCATTTACCAACTTTGAAACATATTTCAATTTTTTTTTTGTTCGTTTTGGCTTGAATCTGATTTTGAAATCTTTTTTTTCATTTTTTCACTGTGTTTTGCTAAATCTAATTTTTTTTCTCTGGCTATTTTGTGTTGCATGAAACAATTAAAAAAAATGATAATTTTTTTACAAAACTAAAAACTAATGCACCTGGATAATTTTTCTAAACCAAAAAAAATAAAAATGATAATAAAAATGTGTGTCTCAATAATCAATTTTTAGTGAAGGTAATTTTTTTGTTTTGTTTTCGTTTGTTGCTTGTTGGCTTAAAATTGATACATTTTGTTGTATTGTTGACCCCGGTGTTAAAATTGAATTTCGTAAACAAAAAACAAAAACGAATGGATTCAGGGCCGATACCGGATATAGTAGTCGATGTTGATCTTGAACTAGATTTTTTTTCTCTCACTCTTTTCGAAAGAAAAAGCTTACTATAAAATACCAGGCTATATTTAAGATTTTGTTTCAAATTGAAATTTCGTTTTTGGTTGATTTCTTTGAATTTTTGATGTTTTCGTCGAACAACAACAACAAAAATAGATAAAATTTGATTGAATTAAAGGTGAAATCCTTCCAAAAAAAAAAATCTTTTAAAGATGACTTTATATTCGGCATCATTATCATCATCGTTATTGGTGTTTACATTTACATTTATAAATGTTGTTATTCAATTTATGTTTGTCAATGGTTATTATGGTGAGTTTTTCTCTTTTTTTCTTTCTGTTCTTCTGATCATCATGATTGATTAATGATTTTTCCCTTCGCTTCGACTCGAAATAGGACCACCAAAAAGTTTTGGCTATAAAACCGAAACATATCATCCAATTCCACGTAGCTATGTTTATCATGAACAACATTTTCCAAAAATATCTAAATCATATTATGAACATGAACGTCCAAAATTATATAATAATCGTTTCAATGATCATGATGATGGTGGTGGTTTTAAATTTGATCATTATCAACCACCAATGAAACGGCAGATTATTACTTATCATCATCAGCCACCAGCACCTATAATGAAGAAAAAAGAAAAAGAAAATGATTCAATTAAATTTAGTGTCGATATACCTGTTAAAAATATGGATTTTGGTAAAGGTTTAGAAAAAGAAATTATGAATGTTCATGATGGTTTAGCTGAACATACAAAATCATCTGTCGGTGGTGGTGGTGGTCATGATGATGAATATGGTGGTACTAGTGGTGGTGGTAGTTATAACAATGAAAATGGTTATGGTGATCAAGAAAAAGAAATGAAAAAAGATTTATCAATACCCGAAATATCGATACCAAAATTTGATGTGGATGGTATGTTGGATAAAATTAAATGACGTATAATCGAACGTAAACAATCAACATTCGAACGTTAAAAATAAAAAAAACGTTCGAATTTGGAATGAAAAAAAAAATAATAATAATCCAGTCACGCCGTCGCCATCTATCGTCGACAGTTTGAAATTTCAGATTTTAAAATTTTTTCAAATATTTATTATTTCCCGCCTCACTTTTGCTCTCTTTTTTTTTTGGTCAATTTCGAAAGAAAAAATTAAAAAAAAAACTTAAAAATCTTTTTGTTCTGCATGTTTTGCTTTATTGTGAAATATTGTTTACGTTGACAAAGACAACAAGGATATTTGTAGTTTCTAAAGATTAATTTGAAAAAAGACTTGTTCATGGCTACTCAAACTCGATTTGTAATGATATTTGAATGAAAGGGAAGGATAATTGTCAAACAATTATAATCCTGGCTGTTCGAGGTTTTCTCTCTTTCTGGTTTCTTCATGTCAACAAAATGATCAATAAAAAAATCTTTGCTCTGTATTTTTTCCAATTTCCGTCATCAACGATTTTTTGCTTTTCATTCTTGACGGCCATGTAATGCTGATGATGATTCATGCGATGGATCGATACCGATAATCATTTCACCATTCAAACCTCTGGATAAACGTTTACCATCCAATGGCTTAATATTATGTATAATTGTTGCATCACCATTATCACGACGAAATATATAATCATCTTCATTACGGATTTCTTTATTAACACGTTGTTTATATGGTGTTAATCTTGCCATACGATTATTCAGGGAATTTTCAAAATATAATTGTGCTACATGAACGGTTGTACCATTTACATGTGCTTGTAAATGTATATGTGGTGTACGAAATGCATATTGTCCTTTGAATTGAATGGGGGAAAAAGTAAAGAAGAATTTTTAGAAACAAAGAAGAGATTGCGGGAAACTTACCGGGAAAAACAGTCATAAATTCAACTTCACCATTATCATCGGTAATTTGTACGCCACGTAAAAATGTTGTATTATCAGTTGGATCAGCATGTAAAACGGATTTTGGTACTGTTGTTGGTAGATTTTTTGTATACGAAGAATATGTACCTAATGCATCAGCTTGCCATATATCAATGGTTACATTTTTCATTGGTTCACATTTAGTAATATCAGTAACTTTAAATTTTAATTTAAATTGCAGTCCAGGACGATTTTCACGTATATCACTACGAACCAAATGATATGGTAAATAATATGGTCCTTCAGTACCTTCAGGTGTTAAAACACATTGATGTTGAAGAATATGACGACCTAAACGTGCACATAATTCACAATTAATCGATGAAATCGTAGCGATAAGCAGAAACAATGACGCTAATTTATTCATTTTTCACCGTAATTTTTTCAATCTTCAATCTTGAATTTTACAAATCCAGCGATTCAAAAATGATGATGAATGTCAAACAAACAAATGAATTACGTTTTACGTTTTGATTCGATATTGATCCATCGTCGTTGTTTGTTGTTTTTTGCTTGATTTCAGTGTACATGTTGTTGTTGTCGTTGTCGTCGTCGTAGCAGAAACTAAATGAAATAAAAAAACTGGATTTCAATTTGAAAACGTTAACGATTAATGACAATCACAACGACAACGACAACGACAAAAAGAAAAACATTGACAACAGCACTCGCCGTTTTCAAATTGAAAAACAAAAAAAAAAACCAAAAAAAATTTTGAAGAAATTTCTCAACATAAACAACATTCGACCTTCCTCTTTAGAGTCGTCCATCTATCCATCCATCCATCCGATACTATCGATTCGAATCATTCGAATTCAAAAAAAAACATTCGAATTCGAATGTTAATGAAATATAATAATAACGATATCGATGAATGATTAATGATTATAATCTCCTGAATGATGATTATAATCATCATTATTATCATTATAAATTATAATTTCGTTTTCATTTTTTTTTCTCATTATTAATCTGTACTTTTTTTTTGTTTCAAGACAAAATAATCATCATCATCATCATCGTTTATTTGTAATTATAATAATTATTGAAAATCATAATTTTTGTTTTTTCATTCCAAAAAAAAGGATTCCATTGATTTTTTTTCTGGATGCAATAATTCTACGATTTCTATCTGTATGATTTTTTTTGTTGATCATAATCAAAATTTTAAAAGATAATACGATGATCATATGATTTAATTACAATGATCAATTTTGTTTTTTGTTTGTTTGTTTTTTTCTTGTTACAAAAATCGATTGTCATCAACCATTATTATCATCATAATCATCATTTGATCATTGGATGATCCAAAGCTCAAGTACTTTTGAGTTTTTTTTCACTTCTCTCTCTCTCTCTCTCGCATCAACAGCATCAATTTTGAATTTTCAAGGATGACCTGACCTCGTTTTTTTTCCAACATATATACCAAATGTTGTTGTCCTTGTATAATATTTTATTGAATAATGAATGGTGAATATAACCCACCCAACCCCACCAACCAAACAATGATTATTGTCAAAGACATTACACACAATAGTACACAACGTGTGTACATACTTCAAGGCTTTCTTAGGTCATCATCATCAACACCGAAGGCCAAACGAGGTCAAATAAAGGTGAATCAAAGATCATGAACTTTAACTAGGACAAATCGAAACAATACCCTCCGCATACATTATGCATATGTTTTCACATCTTGTGTGGTTATTACATAACCCTCATTCATTGTACGGGTGTGTGGGTTCGAATGAAAGGGAGAAAACAAGCAAACCAAAAAAAAAAAGAGGTAACCTGGTTATAGTTTTACACTAATTGAATGAGGGTGTTTTGCAGGCGGTGGTGTATCGAAAGGGATGGTTACAATACGAAGGTAACCCAATCATGTTTTAGACGGGAAAAAAGACCGGGTTAAAAATGGTCGGGTTATTTTTTTGGATTGAAGGCGGATGTGGGTGGCCCATAAAATTGTTGTTGGCGGTTAAATTTTAGGTTCGGTAGGGTTCAAATAATCGACCTAATAACCGATTACCCGAATATTTGGTATGTGTGCGGGTAAATTCAAATGAAAATAACCGACTAGTTTAGAAACAAAACTAGGTCATCATTTCGACTGCAGTCTTCTGTATACACACAGCCTTAGTTTAGTTTAGCTTAGTTTTTGTTCAATCAGTTCAGTTTAGAAAAGCATTGCATTTTCAGCATGATAAGCGTAGCGTTGTGTTAATTGTCAATCCAACCTTTCAATCCATTTTTGTTTTTTGTTTTTTATCTTTTGTTTTAAAATTAGTTAATTAATTAATTAATTAACTAATTAAGTTTTTAATTAACAAAAAAAAATTATCAATATTCAATAATAATGGACATTTGATGCAATGATAATGATGCAATGATGATTGGCAATTTAATGACGATGTTGTTGTTGTTGTCCATGTCCATAAAATTGATTTAATAAATTATCAATTTCATCTTTGAATGGTTGTTGTTGTTGTTGTGGCGATGACGATAATTCATGATGACCACCAACAATATCATGATGATGATGATGATGATTTTGATGAGCATTTGTTTTGGATGAAAATAAATCTTCAGGTATTGGATAATTTGATGATGTTATTAGCTGTTGGCTATCATTTGAATCATCGTTTTGTATCGAAAATTTTCCAGTTTTAAATCGATTATAATCCATATTACCATTAGCATCATCAGCATCTTCATTATCATCATCCTCATTAGCATATGTTAATGAACTAATACTTGATTGTTTTGAATAATGATCACTGGTACCATGGTCGTTATTCATATTTCTACCATGATTATTACCACGATCATCATAATCATCATCATTATCATCATTATTCGAAAGAAATGAATCTGATGATGATTGTTGTTGATTCCAGAATGGTGTTTCAAAACCAAATTCTTTTGCATATTTTGTTATTGATTTTTGCCAATCAAATGGTTGTTGTTGTTGTTGTTGTTGATCATCATTCAAATCAATTGATGATAATGACGATGTTGATATTGGTTTATTTAGTTTCATCGATGATGATGATGATGATTGTGATGATCGCATCAACGAACCACCAATTGGATCATGAAATGATAATGTCATTGATGATTGTGGTGGTGTTGATGATGATGTATCTGATGATTGATGTCTTGATTTGAACGATCCTGTTGCTGATGATGATGATAATAATGTTCGTTGTTGTTGTGTTGGTGGTATTTCATTTGATTCTTTCGACACAGGTGAATCCGTACGATATGATTGTTGATGATATGACCTTACTTTACTATTAGGTATTGTTGTTGTTGTTGAACGACGACCTTGTTGTCTTTGTTGTTGTTGTTGTTGTACATTACGTTTATTCATCAATGATGGTAATGGTTCTTTTACATTACGACCATTACGTTGTTGTTGTTGTTGTAGACGAGATGCCGGATGATAACGTGGTTCATTTGATAAATTAGTTTTCGGTTCTTCAAATGATAATGTCATATATGTTTCACGTGGTGATTGTGTTGTTGTTTTTGTTGTTGGTGTTTGAATCGATAATTGTTGTTTATGATTTGGATGTTTCGATTTAATTGCCGTCGATGGTTTTAATGGTTTCCATTGTTGTTGTGATGATGGTGGTAGATTGGTTAATAATTGTATCGATTTTGGTTTAATCATTCGTTTGGCAATCGTTGATGGTGATGAACGATGATGATGATGAGGATATGATATTGGTGATGTTCGGTGATTCAATCTTATTGTCGGTACAGTTGGCGGTGGTGGAGGTTGATAATCAGATGCAGGTTTTTGTTGTTGTTGCTGCATGATTGGACTACGATATTGTACAATAGTTGTTTCATCATTATTCAATATTGATGGTTTTGTATTGAATATTATTCTGGTTAATTTTGGTATCACTTTTTGATAAAAAGGTTGATCATCATCATCAACTGTTGATGATGATGATTGTTCAGTTGATGGACTAGCAACAAGATTTACAACGGATTTTATTTTATCATTTATTGATTTTGGATACAATGTTGTTGATGATGATAATGAGGATTGTGCATTCGTTGATGATGACTGCGGAATACGTTTAAAATCAAAATTATCAACCAATTTTGATATTGATCTTTCATCATAGATGAATGAATTTCCTATGAAATCAAAAAAAGCAAAAACAAAAACAAAACAAAGATTTTAAAAATATCCTCGAAACAATCAATCAATCAACCTTTAGGATGAATTACTGAATGATGTGCCGAGATAATTTGCATCATTATCATCATTGAAATTATCGTTATTAATTTTGAATTAACCATCATCATCATCATTATCATTAACGGAAATATATTCTTTCGAATCAAAACAAAGAAACAATCGATATTTATGTTTACTATCGATATTTGACTATCGATATATCGAAGAACAAAAAACAAGTGTAAAATGATCAGGGTATTTTATTTGTTGTGTGATCCATTTTTATACCGAGGAAACGAAAATCGAAAATAACGAAAAAATTTTCCGTTTTTTGTTTTCGCCCGATTTTCTCCAAACTATATCATTACCCGAAAAGGTATGTTTGTTGCCAATTTGTGACAGAAATGAGAAAAAAAAATGTTTCCCATAAATCTCACTATCATCATCATCCAGAAATCATTGAGCGACGAACAAACGAACGAAAAATAAGAAAATCTATCAGACCGAATCTGAAAATTCAATAAACCATGGTTTTCAACAACAAAATGTCCCAAAAGTAATTTTTTATTCAACCAAAAATAACAATTTTGTTGCTTGTCATCATCATCGTTTGTATCTACCACGATTGAAGAAGAAATTGTCAATCAATCGATCGACAAAAGAAAAAAACTACTTATCAGCAACATTTGAATTGGTCGAATTCATTCGATCAACCTGATGATAACGATGACGATGATGATTATTGACATGTTTTTTTTGGGCAATAAAAATCCAACGATAAGAAATGAAAAAAACATTGTCATCATGTTTATGTCAAAAAAAAAACATTCGAAACATCGAACGATTTTTTGTGTGTAACGACATTTTTGAATTTTTTGTTTTCTTCAAAAAAAGAACATTATCTTTTTTTTGAACAAATTGTTAACACCATGGTAAGCAAAACATCCCCTTTTTACAAATGATAATAATTATAAACATTTACTTCGATTTCCTTGTGTGTGTTAGTGTTTGGCATGCATATTTTACCCGGTGATAATCTATAATCATTATCAACTGGCTTCCGATTTGCCTATTTTCCACTATTTTCCCCGCTTTGTCAACATGATAATCAACATTATGCAAATTTTTTTTTCATTTGTTTTAAGTTAGAATAAATAATAATTATTTTATTAAATTAAATGGGGAGAAAAAAAGCGGAAAAGACATAATAAGGTGGTGTTGAAGTGTTAAAAAAATTAATAATAATCAATTAAGGTCTAAAGGGGGGAAAAATAAAAAAATCACAATTTTTGACGAAAAAAAAAAATGTTAAGGAAACAAAAATGACAGGGATAAAGTAAAGTTATTTTCGAAAGAGAAAAATTTTTTAAAATGCAATTCACATGGCCTGTGCCTGTATAGCACCATGATGATATTGATCATTTGAATGACGATTATGATGATGATTATTTTGATGATAATGATGATGATGGTGATGTGGAAAATGATGCGGAATTTTTATTCTTTTAAATAAATTCTTAAGATTTGTTAATGTTGATTCGGAATGTTGATGATAATAATGATAATATTCCGATGATGAACATGATGATGATTTATCAACATTATAAACATGTTTACGACAATTTTCTATAGCTTTTTCAAATTTATCCGTTAATTGTTGACGAAAATGTTGTCGATAAATATTTAACATAAATACATGATGAAATGCTTTTATATGTTGTGTTGAATAACAATAATTAAATAATTGTATTGCACCAATTTTATTTACATATTCTTTAACTTCATCATATGGATTACGATATTGACGACAACGACGATAATTATCACCAACATTACCCAAGACGAATACTGTTGGTCGTTGATTACCATTACCATTACCATTATCGTTATTATACAATGCTAATATTGAATCTAATGCCATACGCATCTGATTAAATGATTGTTGATAATTTAATAAATCATAAACACCAATTATAGCATCTAAACGATGATAATATGGTTGTATTGTTGAACGATCCAATTGTCCATTACAGGTACGTTCAAATACTTTTAATTGTATTTCAATTTCACGAAATTGTACTGTTTGTGAATAATAACATTGTTTTATAATATTGTTTGTATCGGCTGTTGTTGTTGTTGTTTCATTATGTTTTTCGCAATTAACACCACAATCGCCATTGCGGCCATTCATTGATTGTTGTTGTTGTTGACAATGATATTGATATGGACAATTTGTACGGCTTAATATTGATGTTATTAAATTTGTTTTACCACAACCTATGACCGAAACAAAACAAACAAACGAAAAAATCACAGTGAAAATTAAGTTTCAACAACGAAAAAAGCAAAAAAATAATCATACCTGATGGTCCAATGACCAGAATTTTTTGCGTGATACGATGATAAAGTGGAGATTGAGACATTTGTAGCTGATTTGATTATGAAAGTTTGAAAGACAAACAAACAAAGAAAAACAAGAAATCCAAAAAAACAGAGAAAATTTTCAGAAAATAATATAAAGGTGAGATTTGTCCGAAATAAGTTAAGAAAAAATCAACAAAAATATTTTGATGACATTGATGATGAACAAAAATCACAAATTCGTTATATAAATGAGAAAAACGAAACGAAATTAAATATCGAAAGAGTTTTCTCGACAAAAGTTATGAAAAAGTCCATGCAAATAAAAGTATGGATGTTTCACAAATCTGATGATGATGATGTTGATGATAATAATGATGATCAACAATATTATTTTTTGCTTCAAACGATGACATTTTTGATCATTGAATGATACATTTGGATACAAAACGAGAGAAAAACAATGATGATAAACGAAAAAAAAAACAACAAAACTTAACAATGATGATAATTTAGAATTTGGTTTCCAATGCTGAAGATGACCATCAAATGTTTTTTTTTGAAAATTGTCCAAAACGATAATGATGATGACGATGATGACTTGTAAATTTTTTTAATTTTAGTTTTTGATCGTTGACAACTCTTTTTATAATCAGTTTTTAAGTGGGAAAATTGAAAAATTGAAAAAATCGAATCAAGTTTAATGTTTATGACAGATGTCTTGCTTTTGGCTCATGTCGATATCGTCGTCGTCGTTGATGTTTGTTTGATTGTTTGATTGATTGATTGAAAAGTGATTGACAAAATCATCAAATAGATTTTCTAATTGAAAAATTATTTATATACCTAAATGGAAAGAAAGTAACAAATAAAATTGCAATAATAAAACTATGGTGACGATTTGATTAAAAAACAAACAAACAAACAGAAAATTCAAACAAATGTTGTACCTTTTTTTGGATTTATTGTTTGAAATATCAAATAAAGCAATCTTATCATTTGGATTTTGGATTTGTATTTTTTGATTCCTGATATTTGGTAATCAATTTGTCTATATTTCACTATAACGTCATTTTGTTTGTTTTGTTGGGTTCTTTGGTTCCTGGTTTCCTGGTTCTCGTTGTCTATTTTTATCATTCGAATTTATTTCCACCCAAATTGGCCTAATGTGTTGAAATAAAAATTTTCGAATGTAACAATTGTTGATGTTTGTTTTTTTTTTGTTTTCCTTTGAAATTACCAAAAAATAATTTTTAAATGTTTTTGAAATTTTTGAAAATTACTAAAAACATTGCCATATTACAAATTGAATTACCATTTATCCCGCATACCATGATGATGATGATCATGCACACCTGATGATCACGACACGTATGATAATCAATTGATGATAATGAAAATTTAAATAATTTAAAAATTTCATTCAATGATTGTTTTTTTTATAACAAAAAATATATTGGCATAGAGATGGCAATATCAATCAATGCAAATATTGATCACTCAATAATCAAGTGGTACATTTGTTAATCACATGATTTCTTTTTTTTCGTTTTCAAGAAACAGAAAAATTGGATTCTGACATTTGTTCAAAGTTTGTTACCAATCAAATATTTGTTCCAAGAATTACCTTATGGTACAATTTTCAATCAAAAAAATTATAATTTCTCAATTTATTCAATGTTAAAAGCTTGTTAATCCGGCTTTCAACTACCAACTGGGTGAGTAACAAAAAAAAAAAAAAGTATTAATCCGGCGTCAATCAATCGATTTTTTTTTTTTTTTTTTTTTTTGGTTATCTTTTCAATCAAAAAGGATAAAATACTGTTATTATAACCACTTAACCAAAAAAAAAAAAAAAAAAAAAAAAAAAAAAAATTCATAAAAATTTTTTTTCCTAAAACCGCAAAAAAAAGAAAAGGGAAANAACAAGAGAAAAACAATGATGATAAACGAAAAAAAACTTAACAAAACAAAACTTAACAAAAAATAATGATGATAATTTAGAATTTGTTTCCAATGCTGAAGATGACCATCAAATAATTTTGTTTTTGGATGAGATAAAATTGTCCGAAACGATAATGACGATGATGATGATGATGACTTGTAAATTTTTTTTGATTTTAGTTTTTGATCGTTGACAACTCTTTTTATAATCAGTTTTTAAGTGGGAAAATTCAAAAAAATCGAATCAAGTTTAAATGTTTTTTGACATATGCTGCTTTTGGCTCATGTCGATATCGTCGTCGTCGTCGTTGATGTTTGATTGATTGATTGATTGAAAAGTGATTGACAAAATCATCAAAGTGATTTTCTGATTGAAAAATCATTTATATACCTAAATGGAAAGAAAGTAACAAATAATAAAATTACAATAATAAAACTATGGTGACGATTTGATTAAAAACAAACAAACAAACAGAAAATTCAAACATATGTTGTACCCTTTTTTGGATTTATTGTTGTTTGAAATATCAAACAAATAAAGCAATCTTATCATTTGGATTTTTGATTTTTGATTCCTGATATTTTGTAATCAATTTTTCGATGTGTGATATTTCACTATAACGTCATTTTGTTTGTTTTGGGTTCTTTGGTTCCTGGTTTCCTGGTTCTTTTGGTCTTGTCTATTTTTATCATTCGAATTTATTTCCACCTAAATTGGCCTAATGTGTTGAAATAATGTAATTTTCGAATGTAACTTTTTGTTGATGTTTTTTTTTGTTTTTCTTTTGAAATTACCAAAAAAATAATTTTCATGTTTTTGAAATTTTTGAAAATTACTAAAAACATTGCCATATTACAAATTGGTATTACAATTTACCGAATACCATGATGATGATGATCATGCACAACTGATGATCACGACAGGTATGATAATCAAATGATAATTTAAATAATTTAAAAATTTCATTCAATGATTTGTTTTTTTTATAACAAAAATATATTGGCATAGAGATGGCAATATCAATCAATGCAAATATTGATCAAAAATTACACTCAACGATAATCAAGTGGTTAATCACATGATTTTTTTTTCATTTTCAAGAAACAAAAAAATTGGATTCTGACATTTGTTCTGTTACCAATCAAATATATGTTCCAATCAAATGATTTCTCAATTTATTTCGAAACCTTGTTAATCCGGCTTTCAACAACTACCAACTGGGTGAGTAACAAATCCTACGTCAATCAATCGATTATTTTTTGGTTATCTTTTCAATCAAAAAGGATAAAACTGCTGTTATTATAACCAAAAATATTTAAAAAAATTGAAATTTTATTCACTGCAATTGATAAAAAGTCAAGTGGTACATGTCTACAAAACGTGCGGATTTTCTTCTTTTTTTTGGATCAATAATTTTCAATCATCAATGGGAAACAAAAAAAAGATTAAAGGCCAAAGATTGGATTACTGCGATAATCCATTATCGTTAAACATCTTTATTTCTTTTTTTTAATGTGAAAAAAATTACAAATTTTTTATAAATCAAGATAATTATTATTATAAGAAAAAAAAACTACTATATATTCAACAATAATAAGATAATCATTTTTTGTTCTGTTTCAAAGATACAAAAAAAAATCTATAAAATTATTTATAAAAAAAAAAATTTGTTTTATAAATTTTGTATATAAAAAAAAACAATTGAATAAAATCTATATAAATAAGCTATTTGTATATGTAAATTATTAAAGGGATTTTTAAAATAAAAAAAAAAAGATTTATAAAGAATCGTAATTTGATAAATTTATCCAACAAAAATGATGGACAGGTTTTTGTGGTTTTTGCGATTAAGTTGATGAATCTGGTTGTGATTCACTTGTTGATGTAGTAACAATTATTGTTGATGTTTGTCCCTTATTATTATTATTATTATTATTATTTTTATGATCATCATCACAATTATCATCCGTTTCCATTGATTCATTTTTATTGATCATCGATTTATTACCGGGTTTTAATGTCGATGATGATGATGATAATAATAATGGTTCATTATTTGTACGATTTTTAAATTTTTTAACACGAATAAAATTATTTTTTGATGATGATGATGATGATGATGAACTTATTTGATCGATATTGGTATTCAAAATATTTGATTGATAATGATGATGATGATGATGATGATAATGATGATGATGGTTATTACGAATATTTGATTGATTACCAATTATAACATTACCAACAACACCTGGATTTATTGATCCAGTAGTTTTAAATAATTTTTTCTTTACATTTAACATTGTTGAATTTTGTTGTGTATAATGATTTGAATTCAATGAAATATTTGTTGATGATGATGATGGTGGTGGTACTGACATTGATCGTTGATGTTGATATATTGATAAATTGGAAGCTAAATACATAACAAAACAAAACAAAACAAACAAACGTCATGTGATGTACAAAAAAAAAACATTATTATTTTTAATTACTTACAATTATGATTATGCCATTTTGGCAATATCATTAATGATGATGATTTTGTTTGTGATGGCTGATGTAAAAGGCCAGCCTGTGGATGATGATGATGATGATGTTGTTGTTGTGGATAAGAAATCGTTCGAAATGGTATTGTAGCCGAATTCGCTAATTTGGCAGGAATTTTATTCTGTTTTTGATGATGATGATAATTTTGTTGTTGTTGTTGTTGTTGTTGATATAAGTTACCATTATTATTATTATTATTAATATTACCAGGACTAGATAATGATGACGATAAAGGTAAATGATGATGAGCTGTTGTTGTTGTTGTTCCTGTAGAACCGGAATTATAAAATTGAGCTGAAGAATTTGTTGTTGTTGTTGTTGATGATGATTGTTGTTGTTGTTGTCCAGTTTGTGTTGGATAAACAATTCGATAACAAAATCCAGGATATGATGATGATGATGTATTACGATTGGCAGTGTTTGGCGTAAGATTATTATTGTTTATTATAGATGATTGTTGTTGTTGTTGTTGTTGTAATAGCGAGACTCTATTATTAATCATATGATTATGATGAGAATTATTATTATTATTACGATTACTTAATATCGGAACTTTTGATCCACAATGAACAGTATTGTTGTTGTTCGGTGTTGGTAATAAGGCAATACCATTATTATTATTATTATTATTACGTTGTTGGCTATTGATCATCGATGTTTTCTTTTTCGATAATGATGCGGAAGATGATGATGAAACTTTACCACTATTATGACCGGAATTAATACAATGATGATGATGATAATAATTTCCTTTATAACCAGATTTATTTACATTAGTTGAATTTGTTTTAGCCATCATCATTATTGATGGCTGTTGAATATTTGATATTATATCACTATGTTTAATGATTGTATTCAAATGTTTTTCAAGTGCTAAATTCGATACTGATCGTTGATGATTCATATGAGATTGCTGTTGTTGATGTTGTTGTTCATGATGTTTTGGTGATTTTCTTTTTTTCGTACTACATTTCAATGAATTCGGATTAAATGATTTATTGCCTTGAATTGACCATGATGATTCAACAACCTTTTTGTTTATTACTACTACAGCTGATGTTTCTGGTTCTGCTTCATTTATGCTTGTATGGCCTTTAGAATCCATAGTTTCATTTGAATCAACAATCAATTCATCAACATTAGCTACATAAATTAACCCCGGACATTTCGTTGATTCAGATTCCGTTGAATTATTGACAGTTTCCATTGCTGTTGTTTCGATTATTGACGATGATGATAATGTCGAAGATTCGGATACAACTAAATCATCTATAATCAATTCTGATGAATCATTATTCAAATCAATACCTTCATCTTCTTCGGATGATGATTTATCCAATGGTTCCAATATAACATCATCATCATCATTATTTTCATTCATTTGATCCAAATAATCATTTTCAACCGTTAACATCAGTTCATTTATCAATTCAATTACACTTGAATCAATCGATGTAATTGATGGTGTTGGTGATGATGATGAAATCATTTCATCATTATGTTGTTGTTTACGTGGTTTTTTTCGTTTATTACGTAATTGATAATAATTTAGATTTAAATCCAAACGTATATCACCAATCAATGTATATAATTTATATAATTCTTCCAATACGATACGATCTTTTTCTAATTGTCGTCGTATTTCTAATTGTTCTGATGTACAATAAGCTATAGTTGAATTATAGTTATTATTAGCAGAAGATTCAATTTCCGATATGATTGTACCATTATTATCCATATATGCATCATAATAATCCATTATTATTTCAATCAATTGTGATTGATCATTATTATCAATAATATCGGAACCGTTACGAGTAGCAATCATATTTGTTTTAGTTATGCAATGATCATTAACAGTAATCGGTATATGATGCAGATGATTAATTACCCAATAATTTGTACATTGTAATAATGTAAAAAGTACAATACATGAACTAGTACGAATAGTTGATACACGATCTTTTGTAGCTAATTCCGTTAACTGATGTAATAATCGATAACGTTGTATCATTAACATTGCAAAAAATTGTGATGAATGTAATTCTTTAAGATTTAAATGATATCGATATTTTGAAAAACGATATGATAATTCTGACCAATTCATTAATGATGGACATTGTTCTTCAATATCCATTAGATAATGATTCGGTAATGATTCACGCCATTCAATTGAATCACGAAATAAAAAACGTATAAACATTGCTAACATATCAATATATAATTGACGATCTTGATATCTTTGTGATTGTCGAAGATTACGATCTAACCAATTAAATAAATCAAATGATAGATAGGCATTTTGATCATGATCATCAAAATTTAATGGATTTGATATCATCATCATCGTTGTTTGATTATTGGCACCATTGTTTACCGATGTTGATTGAACACAATATTTTTCAAAATCATGTTGAGCAAAATTCTCCAAATAAACCATTAAAAGACAACGTGCAATTGCTTGTCGACAAGGTATTGGACGCTATAAATCGATTTGAAAATTTTAGAAAAAAAAATTTAAAATTAATCAATTTGAAATAACATACCGTTGTACTAAATCGTAATAATAACCGTGGTATTATCAAACGTTTAACAATATCAACAGGTATAATTCTTGATAAACGAAACATAACATCAAAATATTGTATATGTAAACGCCATTTTGGTTTTGTACTTAGATATGTTTCCGAACGCATAAATGTATCGACAACATATTCAATGATTGTATTTGTCTATACAGGGGAAAAGGAAATTTTTAATTAGAAAATTTCATTTTTTTTTTTTGAAACAAAACAAACATACCTGAGCAGTCAATTGTGATGAATTTAACATCGATGTAAATACATCGACAAAATTACGAATAATCTGCGCTATGACATCAAAATTTTGTGATTGCAAAACATTTGTCAATACCGAATATAGCCGTATTGGTTCGGTAAAACGTTCAACTAATTTTTCAATAATATTCGACATTTTCATTGCAATTTCATAATTATTATCAATCGATAATGTATTCAATATATCAATTAAACGTGTTGCAATATTATCTTTATTATCATGATTATTACGTTCAATTTCCAATGATAATGATGATTCTGAATTTGATGATTCAATATCAATCAAATCGGTTATATCTTCATCTTTATTTGATGATGATTGAACCGACGATACAACTGAAACCGGTAATCGTGATGGTTGTCCAGATTTAAGTCTTAAACTTTTTCTTGAACGTAATTGTCGATTATGCAATGGTTTTATTGTTGATTGTTGTTGCTGCTTCAGTTGTTGTTGTTTTCCAATATCATAAAGATCCGATATTGTTGGTATTAATGATACCAATATTATTTTACATGATATTGTTTTATAACGAAAAAAACCAAATATATCTAAATTATTCAATGCATTCGATGTAAATGTATATTGTGTTGATCCAATACTAAAATCATTATTATTCTGTATTGTTGTTGTTGTTGTTATATTTGAATTTGTTAATGTTTGTATATTATTATTATCATTATTATTATAATTAGAATTATAAGCTGATAATGTTTCAGTATTATTTAATGATTGTTGTTGTAAATGTTGTTGTAGAATTGATGTTGTTGTCGTCGATAATGGTGATGATAATGGTAGTGGTAATGATGATGGTGATGATAATGTTTTAACATTCATCATATTACCATCAACATTTGTAACTTGATATCGACCGATAAAATTTTGTTGCTGTTGTTGTTGTATGTTTGAATTATTTTTACCTAAATCCATAAGATTAATTTTAGTTAAAATTGAATTTGTTGATTGATCAATTAAAGTCGTGGACGATGATGATGATACATCAATCAATGTATTATCAGATGATAATTGCGATGGCGATTGTGGTGTTAATGGTGGCGGTGGCGGAAGAACATAATGAAATGCACACAGACGATAATAAAAATCTAAATACCAATGATCATGATCAAACATTTCCATTAAAAAACGTTGATCAATATTTAGATTATCACATTGATGATTATCATTATTATTCATCATATAATCTCGTAATATTAGTATAAATAATACAAGACTTTGATAATGTGAAAATAATGTCTGTGTTATTGAATCATGTGAACCGATTTGATCACGCCAATGTAAAAAACAATTAAATAAATCTTGTTCAATTTTTATCGACATCGAACGATATTGATCAATAAAATCTAACATTCGTTGAAATGTTTGTTTCAATAATGGTAAAAATTTTTGATAAATAAATTCCAATACATTGTTCTTTGTGGATTTTTCCGTATTTTGTTCATTTGATTCTGGTTGTTCTTTTTCGGATGGCATTTGTTCATTATCACAATGTTGTTGTTGTTGTTTTTTCATTGAAATTTGATTAAAATGAAGTAAATATGATAATAATGATGTTAATGAATCAAGTAATGCAAAACAGATTGTTGTCGATGTACAAAGTGAATTATTATTTTGTTGTTGTTGATTGGAAGACGATGATGAAGAATTATCATTATCCAATACAATAATTGATAATTTTTCAAATAATGGAAAAATTATTGATTGAAAATAATCAAATTCAACACGTCTTGCATAATTAGCTAAAACAAAACAAATTGTAAATCGTACCGATGTTGTTGTTTCATTCGTGATCAATTCACTTAATAATGGCATTAATTTTGTTTCGATTGTATCCATTGTAAGACAATCATGTATATTCAATAATAATTGACAGGCAAATATACGACGATCAGTTTGTTCCATTGTTAATGAACTTATTGCAATATTTAATATATCCATTAATAAATCTTGATCAGAATTCGATACTAAACGATTATTATTTTGTATCATTTTATTTGTTGATGGATTATCACTGTTTGTTGGCATCATCACTATTGATGGATCAATATCGGATTTAGTAAATGATGATGACGATGAACAATGATCATCTAATGTTGTTGATGATGATGATGTTTGTAAAACATATGTCGGTATATTTAATTCGGAAAAATTTTTTGTAAAATCTAATAAAAGATTTGGCCATATTTTTTCTGTAATTATAAGAAAAAAATTCAAAGTTTAAAGTTACAAATGAACAGTAAAAATGATTATTACATACCTGTACTAGTATTAATCTGTGTTATAATTTGTCGCATAAAATCTTCTAAACGAAGACGTTTTTTATCATCATTCATTATTTGTTGTCCATTATTGAATGATGATGTTTCGGTTTTTGTTTCATCATCTGTATCATCATCATCATTATTATTATCCGTATCACCAATATCAATATTATTATCATGATCCATCATAATAAGATCATCTAAATTTGTATCAATAAATTTCATATGATCTTCATCATTATTATCATCATTTTGATCACCATCATTATCTTGATCATTATCATCATCTTGATCATCAATATCATCTGATTCACATATAAATGGATTATTATCATTATGTTGAGAATTTAAAAATATTGTTGTCGTTTTCATCATTGGTATTGGCAGTGTTTGTAATGATGATGACATCGATGAGGATGATAATCTGACATTCGGTGGATTATTCATTTCCTGTAGAAATATCAATTCATCATTCAAAGTTGTTGTTGCAGTGGCAGTAGTGGTGGTTATTGATTCTTCACAATTACCACAATCATCATCATCAATGATAGCTGATTCAATTGGAATTGATTTTTCATCCGTATCATCATCCGCATCATCATCAATAATATTATCACTTTGTTTCATATGGTCATCATCATCATCATCACATGGACTAGTTTGATTTATGTTGGATGTTTGTTGTTCCATCGATTGATGATTATTATCATCATCATCATTCGATCCATCATTTAGTTTATTATCAGTTGATGATTCTATTATTTCCATCATATCCATATCATTATCGTTAGCATAATTTTATCTGATGGGGAAAAAAAGAAAAAAAATTTTTTGTTAATTTTTCAATCACAGATTTTATCAAAAAAAGACAAAAATAAAATCAAACAAACAGCAGAAAAAAAAGGCGAGCAGCAACAAAATATCCTAACAACAACAACAACAACAAAAAGAGACGACGAAACAGCTTCGGAAGACAATTTCTTCTTGTCTCTCTCAATGGATGTAAAACAACAACAACGAAAAAAAAGGATAAAACAACAACACAAAAAAAAAATGAAAAAACAAAACTGGTCAACAACGACGATGATGAAAAAAATATTGATCGATGACATAGTTATCATCATCATCAAGAACATTCAATAAGTAAATGTTTTGTTTAAAATAGAGAAAAATGAATATTTTTCTCTCATTTTTCTTGATTCAATAGAAAAAAACTAACCCAAAACGAGAGATGATGATGATGATATTAGGGCAAGAATGATTTCTTATATGATGGATGGATGGATGGATGGATGGATGGATTGTTTGTTTGTTTGTTTGGGAAGAAACATAAAAAACGTTAGAATTAATTTTATTAAATATTTTTTTTTGTTGTTTGATTGAATTTCACAACAACAAAGAAAAGAGTGAAAAAAAATATTTACGGGGAAAAATGAAGAGAGAAACCTGTTTGATCAACAACGAAAAAATTTTTTGTTTGTTTGAAATGAAATGATGCACAAAACATGTATAATGTGTAATTGAAGCGATAGAAAGAAAGAAAGAATTACCGTTTTGTTTCATTAATGGTTGTTTAAAATGATGATTTTTTTCATCTAATCAAACTAGATCAGTGGAAAAAATTCAGGTTTTGACTATTGTCGATGATGAGGATACCTGGTGGTAAAATATTGGCAAGGGGCAAGAAAAATGAAGATAATCAAGGTAACAAAACAGGATTCCGTTATTGAAAAAAAAAGTTTCGATAATAGTTCCGTTAGTTTCTTGATCTTTGCTCTCTTTTTCAAATGTTTTTGACATTTGAAAATTTTTTTGAAAAAAAAAACAAAAATAAAGTATATTTACCGGGATATCATTTTATGTTATTCTTATATGATCATAATTAAAAATTAAAAAACAACAAAATTTTTTCAAATTTCAATTTGATTGCTGATTGAGATTACGGTTGACGACCTTTGATAATGAGATACATTCGATCATTTTTTTACGCGCACATCAAAAACATTCGATTTGATTCGATTCGAATCGAATCGTTCGATCGATCAATTCGAAAATATTCGAATTGGAAAAAAAGACAGGTTTTTTTTGCAAAAAATTTTTTTTTTTGTAAATTTGTAAACAAAAACGACAACATTCATATCACAATTAAAAGAGAGATTTGGTTATTAAAATAAATGTGTTGAAATGAAAACAAACAAAAAACAAAAACAAAAACAAAACAAAAAAAATGAATGAATTTGGCACATTGACCGTATCGTACGTAAATGATGTTACGCGACAAGAATTTTTTAAAAAAGATCCATGGATTCTGTCGATAATTGTTTCAACAAATCTTAAACGGTGATCGCAGTTTCGTTCCAAGAATCAAGAGTTATTTGTTTATCGAAGACAAGACAGAAAATTAAATGTGCGCACCTAAAATGAAATTTGAAAAATTTGAAAAAAAAAGAAAAGAAAAAAGGTAAATGAACGAAAACAGAAAAAAACACCTAACCAAAACAAAATTAGAAAACCATTTTGGGTAGAAATAGTGTCGAGCAGAATTTTATTCTTTTTTTGGATTCGATTTTTTTTTACATAACGATTTTTTTCGTTTTTTTCAGAAAATTGTTTCAGAAAAAAAGAAACGAAATTATCGATCAATAATCAATCAATCAATAATGGATAACTATCGATAATCGGGCGAAGCAAGAAAAAGAAATGTCCATCATCATTATTATTACGTAATAATTAATTATCCTCTGTTTCTATATTCCTTGGTTTACAAGTTTGGTTTGCTTCCAATAATGATGATGAATAAATTTATAAATTATCAAACCAATCAATCAATCGATTGATTGAAATGTAAACAAACAAAAAATCTTCACCTGTGTTTGTTTGTGTAAATTGTGTGCCAAAAACAAAACGAATCTCAAACGAAAAATACTCATTTTTCTCAAATTTCCAAGTTTTAAATGAAGTGAATCAATATATATTCAACTAACATAATGTTTATCCATAATGGTATGATATCTTAGTATCTTTTTTCCCCTTCCATCACTCAAGAAACAAACCTTTTTTTCTTTTGATTAATGAATTTTGTTTGTTTTTTCTTTCTTTATGCACTTCATTTTTCTTCCCATTTTAACAGGTGTTTTTTATCCAATATTTTTATTTTTTTTATCAACAATTATAATTCATTTGGAATGTCGTCATATAATTGATAAAGAATGTTTGGTAGGTTTTTTCTGATTTGATTTGATTTTTTTTTATTAATTTTTTTTCTCTTCATTTCATTTTTGACAATAAAGCAATGTAATAAAAATGAAACATTTTCATTTTTTTGGAAAATTGAACGTAAAAAACCATCACCACCATCATATTTTTTTGGTACAATACATGCACCATATACAAAAGTATGGAATTATATACCGAATCGTGCAAAACAAGCATTTCGTCATAGTCAACATATTATATTTGAATTAGATTTAATGAATACAGAAACATTATTATCATTAACACAATGTCAATTATTACCACCGGGTATTCGTCTTTCAGATATTATACCAATTGATATTTATTATCGTTTACAGCGACATTTACGTTATATTCGTTTAAAAATACCACAATGGATTACTAATGAACAAAAATCACATGGCCTTAATGCAAATGCATTATTTACTGCTATAACATTACATTGGGAACGTAAAAGACCAATTTGGGTTATGATTATGTTAAATTCATTGACTGAAAATGATATTAAATCTAAAGGTATTACTGTATTGGATTCATTTTTCTATCAAAAAGCAAAAAAATTAAAAAAATCCATTGGATCGGTTGAAAATGTAAGTGTTTTTTTCTTGTAAATTTTAATTTTAAAAATTTTCCAATTTTTCTTAGGCTAAAGAACAATGTAAAACATTAAATTACCTGAATACAACACAGGTATTATATGCATTAAATCAAACATTATTACAACATGAAAATATCCGGTTTGGTCATTTACGTTCAAATCATACAACCAATGATATGATTAATCATTATAATTGTGGTAATCTAAATGAAGCATTATTTAATGAAGATTCTTCCAATGTAAATATCCTAAAAAAAATCAAATCAAACCAATTTTTTTAATCTTTTTTTCCACAAAAAACAGATTCCAATACTCAAAAATCGTTCATCATCGACATCTGACAATGATAATCATAATGATGACAATAACGACGATGTTGAAAAATCATTATCGAAAAATATTGAAAATTATTTTCGTTTTGAAATTATTCTAAAACGAAATAAACGTATGAGTCGTCGTGTATTGGAATTATTGCAAACAAATCCAAATGAAAGTTTCTTTTTTGTATTTGGTGCTGGTTAGTAGAATTTTTTTTTGTTTCATTTTTTTCATCCAAGAAAAAATCAAAAATTTATTATTCCGCATCAACTTTTTTCCAATCTATCTTGATTATAGTTTTTTGGATTGATTGATTTGCATAAATTATTATTATTTTGAATGACTGAAACTTGTAATTCATATTTGCATATTCTAATTTTCTTTTTTTTTCTTTTTTTTCTCACTCTCCTTATTCCTTATGTAAAAAAACATCTATGAAAACTGTGAAAATTGATGACCAAATGACGAAATGGTGAATATATTTTGTTTATTTTCAAAGGACATTTTCTTGGTAATGATTCAATAATTGAACTTATGATGAAAGATCATTCAAATGGTTTTGAAATTATACATATTAATGATGATAGACAACAAAAACAATCATTGTAAGTATTACGATGTTTTTCATCTCTGTCGAAATTGAATTAATCCTTTTTTTATGAATTATGAATTTGTATTTTATTTTGGGAATGTTTTTTTTCTGGTTGTTTGTAGGATTTGTGATACAACAGTGACGACGACGACGACGACGAGATCAATTATAAAACAATCGATGAATAATGTAGATCATCATCATCAGAATCAAAAACAACTGCAACAATCGGAAGAAACATTAATATATCCAATATCAACTGAATCATTATATCGTTTACCATTATCATGGTTTCATAATAATCATCAAAATCAGCATAATCAACATTCATCAATGAAAATGAATTCCGATAGTAAATCTTCGATTGATGATGAATCATCTGCACATTTACCCGTCGTTGTTAAAGATTCATTTTTATCTGAACAAAAAATTCAATGGCCATTAAATAATATGATTAACAATTGGAATAAAGATTTAAATCATTATCCATTACCACAACAGCCATCATCATCATATAACAATAACAATAATAATCAGGCGATGTTTCAGATGATGATGATGAAAATGATGATTATGATGAAACAACAACAATCGGCCAATAATCATAATCAACAACAACAACAACAATATTCAAATAATAATAATAATAATATTCATTATTATTATCCAATTAATACAACAACAACAACAACAACGAGAACAACAAAATCTATTAATCATAATAATCAAAAGTAAGTGTCAATTTTTTATGATTATGATGATGATGATGATTAAAAACTTTTTCTTTATTAATTATTTATAAAACAAAAAAAAAGATGACCATGGATCGATCGATCGATCTATTTGAACTAACCAAACTAAACAAACAAACATAGATAGATATATAGAAATAGCAAAACTGATCTGTCAATGTGTGTAAGGTTATATTATTAGCATAAATTAGATTTTTTTGTTGTTGTTTATATAAGTAACATGTGTATGTTTGGTGTTGTTTGGATCGATCCAATTACATTTATAGATTTGACGATGATTCACATTTAAGATTTATATCGATATCCATCCGAATATATGATCAAGTTGATTATAATAAGAATAGTAAGGGATCATTTTCATTTTCGCATTTATAATTGATGATGATGATGATGATGATCCAGAAGCAAAATATATCATCCACAGACACAGACAAACTATATATAATGATTAGATAAGGGGAAATATTGGAAAGAAACATTTTTTTTATATATTTACTTTACGCCGGCCGACAGACACAGACAGAAAGAATATTTTGTTGTTTTTTTTTCAATTTCATCATCATAATAATCAATTTATCAGACAAAGACATTTGTTTGTTTTATCATGTCATTGTAATTCTCAAATATTTACCTTTATTTTTACCTTTTTTTTCAATTCTTTTGATGTATAGTCGGACAAATATGAAAATGGACAATATTGGCTTGACACGACATCCATTTGCTAATCATCATCATGATTATAATCGACATCATCGTCATCAAATACGATCAAATAATGATAATTATTATCCATCATATCAAACAGCAAAATTATTTACCGGTTTATTAGATAATGATGATGATGACGATGAATCAAATCATCCTGCCCATAATACCCGTACATTATCATCATCATCATCATTATATTCGTTGAATAATAGTTGTCGATCCAGAATCAATATCGATGGCCATTTCTTTTTGATGATTATCATAATTCTGATGATTTATATCAGGATTCACACAATTCGAGCTTTATTCATTTTATTATAGTTGGGAGTTTAATGTATTTTTTGTGATATTATTTTTTTATAAAAAGAAAAAAAATTGTAAATAAAATTACAAACGAAAGAAAAAGATTATTTGATGTAAATAAATGAAAATAATAATAAAAAAAAAGTTTTATAACCTGTATGATTTTTGTTGTTGTTGTTGAATGAAATTGATCTGAATTCAATCAATCAGATGCAATCAGTTTTTCATTTTCGACGGGAAAAAAATTTCTAATTTCAAATGAAACGAAACGAGAGCAATTTTTTAACCTAAAACAGTAATAATCACGACGAATGTAATCAAATAAAAGTTCATCACACTCTCATAAAGTTTTCATCATCACCATCACCAGTTTGCAAATTTCTCGATATAAAATTTTTTATTTATCTTCGTTTTCACATTTTGCCTTATTCGCAATAGAATCGCAAAACAGATACTTTTTTTAATCTAAAAAATAGAAAATTAAATCCTGATGCCATTCACACTCTCACTCGCATCGCACAAACAAAGTAATAATGCAAGTAAATAAGCAAAAAGAATGAATTTCAGTTTAGTTTGTCACCATCAACATCGGGAAAAAGTATTGATGATGATGTAATAAAATAATCAACAACAACAACAGACAAATCAAGACAGGCAGTATCGATTTTTGTTGATTGTCAAAAATTTGTTTTGCTTAGCTAAAATCAAAATGAGATTCGATAACAATAAATATCGTTGGTTGGTGGTTATTATATTGGGGTTTTTTCTCTGGTTTGATTTGTTGACTTAACCCGGGAGAAAATGGCGAGTGTGTGTGGTGAGAAATTGAAAATGTCATCCTCTCATTGCAGTGAAAATTAAACGTAGCTGATTTGTAATGATGATGATGATGATAAAATTTTATTTGATTAAAAGAATAATAATAATAATAAATTCAAACTAATCAAAGTTTGAATTCAAACCTTTTTTTTTGATTATCAATTTTTCCGGAAACATTTTTCCCTGGAAATTTCTCTAGAATATTTCTGAAAAAGATTTTTCGTTAATTACCACATTTTTGTGTTTTTGTAGCCAGAATATAATTTCCTAATCATCAGGATCTGTAAGTCAATTTACAAAGCTTGGATTTGTTTAGAGTTAATAATCGAAAATGAATTCAATTAGCATCATCGATTCGATTCGGTTCAAACCAAAATTGAAATTGAATCAATAAAAATAAAAAGGATTGTGGAAATTTGATTGGAAAATATACTTACACTTACTTCATTTTGATTAGTTTTGATTTATTTGATTATTATCCAAAAAAGAAGAAGAATCTCAAGTTTTTGGTTTCTGGAAAATTTCCCTCCCATTCATTTTATATCCCTGTGTCTGAATTCCCATAAATTCGTGGTTGACAATCCAAGTTTCATATCAGGAGAAAAAAAAGAGAGACAAACCATACGTGCTTCAAACTTATTATATTCATTAACAAAGATGTTGTTGGTGATGATGATGATGATGATGAGAATCAATCGGATTTCGCAATTTCGTTTTTCATTGATCGTCGTCGTCGTCGTCATCTTCAAAGATGCAAAAACTCTCTAATTGCTTCATTTTTTTTCACAAATGATGTTTGATAATTTCAATGAATTGAAGGGAATAATCCTTTTCTTTTGTCTTTTTTTTTTTGAATTGTCATTTTGAAAAATTCAAATCGAAAAGGATTTTTAATCATTTTAATTAGCTCATTTCGATTGTTTTTTTTCAACTGCTGCTGCTAATGATCATCATCATTTTGGGAAAGAATTCTTGAAAAGAAAAAAAAAATCTGCAAAATTTCTTTCTGTTCAATCACAGAATATTCTGCAAACATTCGTTGAAATTCCTAAAAACATTTAAAAAAAAAAATCTTAAATCGTTTATGGCGGATTCCCAAATGATATGGAATTTCTTTTTTTTTCGGTTGCAGATTTTAATCAATCAAAATTCAGAATTTATTCCCGGATCAAAGATTCCATCTTTTCTGTTCAATCTGAATAATCAGATGATGATGATGTTCACCATTGACATCTCCATCTCTCTCAAAAGATTTTCGATTGGAAATTGATTGAATAAAAAAAATTGATTTTTCATTTTTCATCATTTTTCCAACGGAATCAAATCTCATGAGACAAAAATGTTGAACGATTTTTTTTTTCATTGATTTTTATTGGATTCGATCGATCGATTGATTGATTGAATTCAATAAAACAACAATGTTGATGTCATTTTGATGGTGGATTATCCATCCGAAACATCCATGGATTAAGATGATTTTTTAAATCAAAAATTTTTAAAAAAAGAAAAAAATGATGACATTATAAAGGGAAATGGGAATGGTGGGGAAAAGTTTACGGAAAGTTTTTTTTTCGAAAAAGTTTTCTATAGTTGCATTTGGTTTTTTTTCCAATATAATCGACAACGTGTATTCTCAAGCAATAACAATTACAAAATTTTTTTATCATTTTTTCAATTTTTTCAAATTTTCATTTTCATTTTGATTTTTTCGATTATTCACTGTTACTAGATTGAGAATACACACTATCGATCAACCATCATAATCGTTGTTTTTTAATCTGAAAAATATTTCTCAAGAAAATATAATGTTTTTTTTTGTTTCAAACTTACCGAATAAAATTTGAAATGAAATCGATGTGATGATGATTGAGAAAACGTTGATTGATTGATTGATTTTGATCGATCAATCGATCGATCGATCGATGACATTCAATGAAAAAATTGATGACATCATCAAAACAAAATACTTTGAACTTTCATTGACCTGTCGCCTGAATCAAACTGAATTGAACTGAACTGAAATGAACTGAAATGAACTTAACAGCCATTACGCACGGGAAGAATATTCCGTTTCGGAAAAAAGGGAATAATAATTCTGAAACGCGGGCAAACAAACAAACAAACACAAAAAACAGCCAACAATAATAAATGACCATAAAAAGCAATTTAAAACACATACACAAAAAACACACTTACCAAAAAGAACAACATCTATCTGTTGAAACATCACCATCATCATCACTATATATGATTCTGGGTTTGGTGTTGGTGGTGATGTGTGCAGTGTGCACATCAATCGATAAATTCGCTGTTGCTTTTATTTTCTTCTTTCGTTTATGGTTTTAGTTACATTATAGTTTTCGTTTTTCCCCACACACTTTTCTGTAACATCATTTTTCGATGGATCAATGGATTTTTGGAACATTTGGTTACAGCCTTTTTTTTTCTCGGTGGAAGAAGTGAACATTGCGCATGTCCAAAAAGAATATCATTTCGAACATTTCATCTGGAAACGAAAACCAAAAAAATGTAAAAATGTTGATCCTGGAACGCACACATGTGGTAAGATCTAAAAAATTGAGATAAACGAAATAATAATGATCAGTTGGAAACAAAAAATATGAAAAACGAATGAAACTAACACTGGTTGCCAGCATCATTTTCGATTGTACTTGTTTGGTTATCTGCAATGATGATGATGATGATGAGAAATGAATTAAATATGAAATGAACAAAACCAGATGTATTTCAAAATTGAATGATCGAGATCAAAATGATGATGGTTTTTTTGGTTGGCCAATTTAATAACGATGATTATGATTATTATGATTATTATGGTGACATAACTTTTTTTGCTAGTTTTGTTTTGTTTTGTTTTGTTCTGAATTGGTTGATTCAGTCGAAGAAGCCATATAATTTTTTTTGAAATGAGATGAATGAAATCGACTCGGTTTTCGTTCGAATCGAATCGAATCGTTCGAATCAAATTATCTTTTGATAATGTCCAAAATCGATGATAATAACGATGATGATGATCATCATTATAATTAATAAATCTAGATTGAATAATAATGAAAAAATGACAAAAAAAACAAAAAATTAATTAATTAATTAATTAATTAATTTGATTTGATTTACCAACGAAATTCAATAAAATTTGATTGGTTTCGGTGAAACAAAAAACAAAACAAAAACCAAAGGGTTTGATGACCGATGATGATGATCAACGGTTATTATTATTATCCGTCTTTTGCATCAAAATTTCATTCAGATTCAAATTCAATTGAAAAAAAGTTTTGCCATAATCAAGTGGCTAACAATTTTGTTTTGTTTCAATTGAAATTAACTTGAAAAACAAAATGAAAATTTTGTTTTTGTTTGAAAAATTCGTTCATCACTTGACCTCTTCCTTCTCTCGCATTCGATTTCAACAATTCGAGGAGGGGGTGATGTAACATTCAGATATTCGAAACAGGAATTGTGGAGGGAGGGAGAGGGAAAATATTCCGGAAATCTATTTTTATAAAAACTTTCTCACTTTTTCAAAATATTTTTCTCAAATAACTTTCACGTTTTTGATAAGTACATTTTTTTTCTTCCCACAATGTTCATCATCAATTATCTTTTCATCGTCATCATCGAAAAAAATCGATTAATTTTAATCGATTAATCGAAAATCGAACGAAACATTCAAACAACACATTAAACATTTCCTGTTTTATTCACCAGCAACAACATTTATCATCCAGAAAACACAATCTTAATATTCTTATTATCAGAATTCCAAAAAAAAAAAATTAACCCCGAATATAATCGTTGACAAGGGCAAGGACATTATAATGTAATAATTTTTTTCTTTGGTCATCATCATCGGTTGGTTCAGTTGGTCTGCATTCAATCTAATTTTATTGACAAATTTTCTTACGTTTTTCTGACACGATTTCTATATTCTGAATGTCCAGAAGTTTGAGTTTTTTCTTTTCTTTTTACCAAAATGACAATCATGATGTTGGTTTATTTCAGGAACACGCACATCACATCATTTGCATTATCCCAAAAATAATAATAATGATGTAACCGGATATAATGATGAAAAACAATAATCTTTTTGTGTTGGCTATTTTTTGAAGACCACAAACAGGGTAGAAATAGTTGTTCAAAAAAAAAAAGATTCGAATCGAAAAAAAATCGCCCTCCGATGATGATGATGATGATGACGGTGTTAATTGGAAAATTTAGTTAAGCCCAAACAACAACAACAACATGCTGACATTTTGATATAGCCGTTGATGAAAACACACAACATTCGAACAAACGAACGAAAGAATAAAGTCTTGTTGTAATTTATATCGTCGTTTTCGTTTTGTTTTTGTTGTTTGGTGTATACCGATTCGGATATTGATTTTTTTTTTTGGTTTGGTTGGCGTTTCAAATGGAACCAAAAATACACGAATATTGGGGATTAACCCCGAGATAAAGCATAAATGTGTAATGTTTTTTTTTGTTGTTGTTGTTGTTTTCAGTTGTGGTACCGATGATAATCTGGTTACAATAATTTTTCGTTTCGTTTCGTTTTTTCATTAACATCCGATTAGCAATCTGGTTTTTGGTTTCTGTTTTTTTTTTTGGGATAATAATATTAACCATCATCACTATAACCATAGAGGATTTTTTCTTTTCGTCGTTGGTGTTAATTTCGGATATTCTTTGGGATATTTTTTTGACATTCATCTTTGGGTTTTGGATTTGATTTGAAGGTTTTATTTTGGCTCGGTTTGGTTTGAACAAAAAATATTCTATTTTTGTTTATTTTTTTCAAACTTCGGATCAATTTTGGATTTTCGAGTAATTAATTTTCGTTTTGCCAAAAAAACCAAAAACCAAATGCCAATAACCCACCACCATCAATGACAACCAAAATTGATCAATCGGTGATCAACGATTGATTCATTCGCAATCTAAAAACCAAAAAACAAAACAACAAAAAAAGTAAATTATCAACAACAAAAATCAACAAAAATCATACTCACTTGTTAGGATTCGAATTCGAATGATTTTTTTTTTGAGTTCAATTTTCATCATCGTCGGTTGTTGTTGTTGTTATTGTTGACAACGAAACTTTTTCGATAAATATTTTCTATGGCTTACCCGAAGAATCGTTGATGTTTTTGATTCTACCATTGTTGTTTGTTTATTTGCTTGTTTTTTTTCGAAATTTGATTCTTTTTTTCAACTTTCGAAGGAAATAACCCGGATATTATTGTTGTTGATCAAAACCTTTTTTAACAGTTTTTATCCATTGAATGTAAAAATAGCCATTTCAAATGTTTTCAAAATGCCATCTATCGTTTGAAAATCCTATGACTTTTTTATTCGAATTCTTTTATCAATTTTTTTTCAAATTTCATTAAAATTTTTTGAAAAAAAATCGAATATAAAATCGGATTTACAATCAATCAATCAATCAATCAATCAAAACAAGTGCGAAAAAATGCAACAAGCAATTGTAAATCGATTTAGTTCACTTGGAATGTTTGGATCAGCATTGGTTCCATCATTCAATGATGATGATGATGATGATGAAGAAAATAGTGATTTAAGTCGTCGTCGTAGTAGTCAATCAAAACGACGTCGTCGTATAAGAAAAAGACGAAAAGGAACATCATTATCATCAATATCATCTACTGATTTATTTGATGATATTTATGGTTCACGTGGACAAACATTACGTTCATTACGTTGGGTAATCCTTGTATTTTTATTCATAATGATATTTATGTCATTACATATCTATACTGAAGATTTAAAATATTTTGAAGAAAGTAAACAATATAGTAATCGTTCAATCCCGTTAATATTTGTAATGTTTACAATGTTATTAATTGGTATTGGTTTTTATGGTGTTTATCATGTTAAAATGTATTATACATTTACCTTTGCTATACTGATGAGCATAATGTTAATCCTTAAAATGAATACCGATTATTGGCAACAAAATTCATTAAATTCAATCATATTTCATATTGCACATTTTATTGCATTATTTTGTTCATGGGCATTTTCATTCCTAGGTGCTTGTTATTTTTGTTGAAATTATAAAATAAATAAAAAAATTTGTAACGTTTTTTTTCAATCAAATCTTTATTTATTTATTCATTTTGTAAATTAAAAAATTAAAAAAAAATGTACCAAAATACCCAGGTGTGTTTGCGTTTATAATGAATAAAATCAAATGAATGGAATGGAATGGACGCCGAATGATTACATTTATCAAAGATGAAATTCTTTCTTGTTGTTGATTGTTGTTTCGTTGAAACGTTGTTGTTATCGAATATGACCACCAACATTTGATACTAAATTTTTAAAATCGGCAAATTTTTTACCATTTTTATTTGATTGTTGTTTGTTTTTTCGTTGTTTTTTTTCCGGATCCGAATCAAAACAATCCCAAAAACGTAATGTTTCATCAGCACCTAATGAAACAACTGTTGAACCATCTGAACTCATTGCCATACAAAGTATACGACCAGTATGTCCCAATAATTCAGTAACACGTTGAAATTTTGGATATTTCCATATGATTAATTCATTATTAGCAAAACCATGTGATGATATTAATTCACGATATTGTTCGGACCATAATATTGATGATACTTGTGATCTTGTATCAACCGAATATAAACATTGTCCATTCTGTGTATTCCATATACGTATCATACGATCATTTGTACCACCACCAGTTGCCAAACAATTATTACGCCATGGACACCATGATATTGCTTTTACAGCAGCTTGATGTTGTGTTAAACGTAATAATGGTTGTATTTGTGTTTCATTTGTTATAGATGTTGTCGTTGATGATGAATTATCATTATTTCCAATAAAACAATTTGGCCATATATTAACAGTATTATCATTACCACCACTTGCTAATAAACGACCATTTGGTGACCATTTCAGACCACAAATTTCCAATGTATGTCCACGTAATGTACCAATTCTACTGGAAGCAATTCTAACATCATGATTAATAATTTCACCATCTTTAGTACCATTACTTAAGATATATGAACACCATGACATTGAACTGATTCTAGCTGTTGAATTATGTAGATTACGTAAACGTTGTTGTCGTTTAACATCCCAAATTTGTGTTACACCCGTACTAAGACCAATAGCAATATTTGTATCATTATTATCAACCCATGCAACCGATGATATATAATCCGGTTCATCTAATGTTAATAAATGTACAATATTACCATCCATTGCATTCCAAAGATAAACTTCATTATTCAATGCAACAGCCAAAATATTTGAATAATTCCAATCAATTAATTGTAAATAATAATCATTCAAAACATCAGGTGCATCCAAAATACGTTCCGGTTGTTTTGATATATATCTTGTTGATTTTGTTTTCGATGATGATGTTTGACATGAATAATAAGCAACTTTTGTATCATTAATATAACCTTCTTGTGGTTTTGGTACAGTTTTATTATAATGTAATATACGATAATTTGCTAGATCTGTACCGTTTAATTCTTTAATTATTGTTGAATTTTCACCATTATTATTTGAATTATTTTGTTCATTATTTGCAATCTAAAATCCAGGAAAAAAAGAAGATCAGATTAAAACAAAGAAGATTTTTCAACCAGAAACCAATTTACCAGATAATGACCAATTTCAAAATTCATAGCCGTACGATCGGGTATAAAACGATCACCATTTATAGGTGTTTTTGGTGATATTTTTTTACCATTATTATTATTTTGTTGATTTTCTTTACCACCATGATTTTGTTGATTTTGTCGATTTGGTGTTTTATTACGACCACCATTTGGCGTTTGATATGATGTTCGTTGATTATTATTATATTTGGTTGATTTTATCGGTGTACGTCCATTTTTTATCGATCGATTAAATGATAATGATATGTTTGACTGTGATAATGATAAATTTTCCAATTGATCGCCCAGGATATTGGTAGATTTATCCATATTATTATTTTTGATGGTAAAAAAATGCAAATTATTAAAAACGAAGAAATGGGAAAAAAACAAGAAAATCTGTTCAAAAGCAATGATTAAAAATGACAAATGAATTTTGTTTTATCGGTTTTCGTTTTCGTTTCGTTTCGAACAAAACAACCAAACCAAACAAAAAAAAAAGTCGTTGGACATTTAAACGTTCGTGTAAATTAAAGGGACCGCCCATTATTTTTGAAATACTTTAATATGATTGGCTGAAAAAAAAACAATGTTATTATATCGATTGTATCGCGATTAAATCGATTGTTTGAATATCGAATTTTTTTTTGTAATTTTTATTTGAAAAATAATTTTTATTTAACTAATTTTTTTTATAAGAAAAATTATGATTATGTTTGATGTTCAAAATGAAATAGGTCGATTTAAAAAAAAGAAGAGAATTTTTGATTCAATGAAAATCATTTCAATATTTGTGATTGTGCGGATAGAAAAGAAAATTGTTAAAAAAAAATTTGTTTGATTCTTTGATTTGTTTTTTTCATTCATTCATTGATCTTCATCCAAAAATTTAATATAATTAAATGGAAAATGACCATGTTTACCATTCAATTCACCTTCCCATTGGCCATTTAGATTTGTATTTGTAACGGTAATAATATCTCCTTTCTAGATTTTTGACGAAGAAAAAAATCAAATGAAATCAATCAAATTCGAAACACGAAATACAAACCTCAAGTTTTAATGCTTTTTTATCATATGCATTCGGTATCCTTTGCTGTATAACAATAGCTTTTGCCGGTAATTTAACACTATTCATATTTGTTGTTGATTTTTTCGTATTATTATTGTTTGTTGTCGATTGTTGTTGTTGTTGTTGATTATCATTTGTTGTTGTTGTTGTTATCGTTGTCGATGATGATAATGATTCTTGTGATGCAAGATTACCACTGCTGCTACTATTATTACTACTACTATTCATATTCGAAATTGTTGATGGATCCATCATTGTTGTTGTTGTCGATGATAATGATGGTGTGGATGATAATTTTGTTGTTGTCGATGTCGATGATTCAAGACTAGATATAATTTCATTACTATGGCGTTTATTATTGTGATTATTATTCAGTGATTTTCCATCAACAATTTCATCATTTGTTTCATCAAATTTTCCTTTTTCACAAAGATATTCTTCTTCATCAATCTGCAATGGGGGAAACAGAAAAAGTGTAAGAATTTCGTTGATAAAATTTGTCATTTTTCACATCACATTTCATTTACCGTTTCAACATAAGGCACTGGTATACTACCAATTTGTCCACAATCATTACGTGCACGCCACCATTGATCTTCTTCTTTCGATATGATTGTTAATAATTCATTTTTTTTAAATGGTAAATCTTCTTTATCTTTACCAAGAAAATCAAATTTGGCACGTACATATTCAAGTTTCTTTTTGGCCTAGAAAAAAAAACATTTTTCAAAGTTTTTTTGTAAAGATTCGTTCACTTTTCATTCATTCATTCATAAATCAACATACCGCACGTATTAATGCTGTTGTATCAAGATAATGATGTTTATAATATGTAAGCAAACTAGGCATATCATGAAATGTATTTTCACCAATTTTAAATTTCGGTTCACCATTCAAATCAATTTTATTGATAATATAATGGCTTATTTTTTGTTCTTCACTAACCGAAAGTACAAGATCACCTGCAACCGAATGACTATATCGAACTAAAAATACACCTTTATCACGTTCAAATTCTAATATTTCGATTGCTTGTTGGCGGGTTAATTGGCCAAAAAACCAGCTAGAAATAGGAAAAAAAATTCAAAAAATTTTTCGCAAATTAAAAAAAACAAACAAATTACCTATTCTGATCATATGGATCGAATGTTGTCATTGTCAATGTTGTTGTTGTTGTTTTCAAATTCAAATTCAATCGATGCACATTTGAATCAAATAAAAAAACATTGAAAGATTACGACGACGATGATGATTAATCAATCAAATTTTGGATGGAAAAAAAATGTCGTCAATCAACAATCATCATCATCATCATCAAAGAATGTTTTTTTTTTGGTTATGTCAATAGACAAATGACATGATCAATATATTTGAGACGTAAATCCTATTACTACTGCTGCCATCCTGTGGCCAAATTTGTCAATTTCAAATTCGAATGTTTTCAAAATGTTTTTAGTTATTTTTTTGAGTTTTGAAAAAAATTTTATTTACAAAAAAATTATAAACATTTTTTGCTATAAAACTTGACAAAATAAATAGATAAAAAAATATTGAGTGTTTTTTTTTTTGTTTTACACATCGTTTTTGTTGTGAAATTATCAATCAATCAAATTCGAAATTCATTTAATCATTGTTGAACATAATGGACAACGATTCTGTATTGTTAACCATTTTTTTAAACATTTTCGATGAAATAAATGTTTACAATCGGTTATAATAATAATTAAATTTGTTAATTTTAATTCATTATAACAAATTGTACATAAATCATCAGCATTAATTTTATCTAAATTCTTTTCATCATCAACATTATCGTTATTATCACCATTGTCAATATTAACTAAACGTAAATGATTTACAACACAATTTGCTTGTTGCCAATGTTTATAACTTTTCAGACCATTCAAAATACGTTGCCAAACATTAAAATAACTATGCATTATTAATATGATTATATTCAGGAAATTTGAATGATTTTCTAATGTTTCCCATATGCCAACAAAAACAACACTTATTGATATAAAAAATTCAATAAATTTTGTTGTAAATCTTATAAAATAGATTAAATCATCTAAATATTCGGATGATTCTTGTTGTTGTTTTGATTGTTGTTGTTGTTGTCGATAAGAATCCCACCAAAATAAACAATGTATAATAATTAAATCTAAAACACGTGCCGATATCAGAAGACTAGTTGAAAAAACAATTGTTATCCAAAAATTTGTTGGAAATATTTTCGAATAAATATTTGTTATATAAAATGGTAAAAAAAATAAACAACCACATAATGAAAATATTTTCAAATGATAAAGATGATTATGATTTTGTTCAGAATTCAATGACAAAATGAATGGTTCAGATATTTCTAATATTGATTGTAAAAGACTTGATATAATTATAAATGATATAATAATCATTATTGCTAAACGTTGTTTATCATTTATATCACTAAATGATATTATTGTTGTCAGTAATAAGGTTGTTATACCTTCTTCCCAACCATTATGATCACGATAATTTAATTGTTGATTTGGTTGTTGATGAGGATTATTATTTTGTTGTTGTTGATGAAAAACATCCACATTATTACCACCACCATTATTATTACCAACATTTAGATAGAATTTTATCATATTCAATATAAAACAAGAAATATATGTTACAGTAATAGATGTCGATAGTAATGATATTGGACTTAAACTTATACTTTGTAATAATAATGGTATCCATTCCAAATTATTTGATTCATTCGGGGTTAAATTATTATTGTCGGTGTTGTTGTTGGTCATTGCGGTGGCATTATTAACCATTATCGTTGAAAACATTTGTAAATAATAAATTTTTGTTAAAATTGTTATTGTCCAAAATAGAAAAAAATGAAATGGTATAAATATCTGTCCGATAAGTTGCCAGAAAATATTCAGAAAATCTTCTTCCATACGACAATAATCCAATATATTTACAAACAATATTTTCATATCGATTAAAAATGATGATAAATTTTTGAAAAAATAATTTAACAATGTTAAACTATCGATACCGTAGGATATTGTATGTAATATCTATTGTGAATTGAAGTTGAAATTGATTAGAAAATTTCATTTTTCAAAGTTTCTCATCTCCCCTTACCTTTAACCATTCAATTTCGATGATTTTTGTCGAATAACCAATGGCAACGATGCAATAACCAACGATTTCTGATTTGTGAAAAAGAGAAATTTTAGAAAATTTTTCGAAAAAAACAGAAAAGAACATTTACCAATTTGAAAAAGTTTTTTCGGTGCACGAAACATTAACATGAGTATCGTATCGAATAGAAAATGTATGAAAAATAATGATAGATTTTTTGCCTGATCCGAATTTCTGAATATCGATTTTTGATCATCCAGAAATGATGATTCGAAAAAATCCGGTACAAATTCATCGATAACCAATTGAATTCTAGATAAATAAACCAATGTTATCCAACAGATTAGATAAATATAATAACGTTTTAGATTGGATATCGGTAACAATAATAGCAGGAAACCATTCAATAATGCTTTTGAGAAGAGAAAAAATTTCTTTTAAAAAAAAGTTAAAAGTAAAAAATTAATTTTTACTTACCAAAATGTGATAGTAAAAGATTCCAATGATGACGATGTCTTATTGACCAATTATAATGAAAATATTTAAAATAATTATCAATTAAAAACAGGCCGGGCATACGTAGCAAAGCAATTTCTATTCGTTTTAAATCGATTATCATCATCGATGATGATGATAATCGATAATTCTTGATCGAATTCATTTTGCTGTTTGGTTTTTACTCGTTGATCATTCGCGAATCTTTGAAACCAAAAAAAAAAAATTGAATAACTTTGTCAACAACATTAAATTGTTGATCGACATTTTTCTGTTGTTTTTATATAAAGAGTGATTTGATTTCACCATCACAACATAGAAATTTTCGTTTAATCAAACATCATGATGTCAAAATATTTAAGCCAAAAACAAATCAAAATTTCACACGAAGAAAAATCAATGAACAAACCAAAATTCATTCATTAATTAATGGTAAACAAGTAATCATTATATTTGATTGATTCTTCCAATTTGGCAATCAGAAAAAAAAACAAAAATTTTGATAAACAAAACAAGAAAAAAATGGTGGATACAAAAAAAAACATTCGATAAACAACACTATTGCCATCTTTTGTTTGAAAAAAACAACAACAATTTTATAACGTTTGTTATGAATAGTATCGGGGACGGAAACAGCACTGCATGCTTGTTTGTGTTGTGTTCTCTCTCTCTCACTCTGCGCTGTATGTGTTGCACATATTGTGTGTGAATAGGCAATAGGCAAAGAAAACAGCACACGTTGAAGCACACCGCATTCGATTTCTGTCTTTTCCTTTTTGGTTTTGTTGCTGTTAAGTTGTGTCTGAAAAATTTATCCATTAAAAAATTTCTGAATATTTTTTTGATTCTTTTGATTCTTTTGTGGATTTTGTCTATGTAAAGAAAAAACAATGCCTGTAAGTAAAAGTAGATAAAATTCTTTGATTCTTAATTTTTTGATCAATATTTTGCTGGTCATTTTTAGTGATTGCCTGATCAAAAGACAAATTCAATAAATTTCGAATCTTGTTTTTATGGATTTTTTTTTGTTTTGTTTAATTATTTGATTTTGAATAAAATTTAATGATTTTGATTAATAATTTTTTTCGTTTTCGTTTCGTTTTCGTTGCAAAAATTATTAGCTTGCTAGAGATTTACTTCATCCAAGTCCCGATGAAGAACGACGTCGTTGTAAACTTAAACGTTTGGTACAACATCCAAATAGTTATTTTATGGATGTTAAATGTCCTGGTAAGTTTGTTTTTTTCCTTATAATTTTCTGTTTTTAATTTCAAAAAAATTTTTCCATTTCCTAGGTTGTTTAAAGATAACTACATTGTTTAGCCATGCACAAACGGTTATACCATGTAAAGGATGTTCAACAATACTTTGTACACCTACTGGTGGTAAAGCACGACTAAGGGATGGTTGTAGTTTTCGTAAAAAACAACATTAAAAAAAATGAAATGTTTTTTATTTTTTTTCTCTCGTACGAATAATGATGATTTTTTTGGTCTTGTTTTCGGTGAAAAAAAAACAACGATAAATGATTTTTCATTTGGAATTATTTTTTCTCACACAAAAATGAAACAACAAAATCATCTCAAACACAAACAAACATCCAAAAAAATGAAAAAATTTTTAAATAAAAAAAAAATTTGAAAAAAAAATTCTGCTCATCATTTTTTTTCGCGTTCGATTTTCGATTTTCGAAACAAACGTATTTCGAACGTTTTTGGCATGCTTTAAATTTTTTTTTTTGTATGGCGGCTGCTGCTTCAGTGACCCTTTTTCATTATAAGATTTACGTATGGGTAATGGCTACAATAGCCTCTTATGGCATTACGTTTGAGCATAATTTGTTTGTTTGTGTTGAGTGTGAGTGGTGATGAGAAATTGGGTTTGGTTGACCAGAGGTTTTTCCTTCTTCTTCTTTTTGATGCTTTATACCACTGTCTACCACCACCAAACAAAACCTTGAAACCTGCAGGTAAATAAGTCTGGTGTGCTGGTATGTGACTTGATAAGGTCTACTACACACACACACAAAAGTGATGTGTTTTGTTGTTGTTGTTTGGTGATTATCACGAATCTTTTGGACTAAAAAATTATCGATCGATCGATTCAAAGGTCAATTCATTTTCATTGTTGGTGGTCTCGTTTTTTTTCGTTCGCTTTGTCGTCCATAAAGCATTCTTCTGAATTTCTTTTTTGTTTCGTTTCACCAAGAAGAAAAGAATCCACGAAAACAAAAACCCCAACCATTTTTTCCTGAATGAAACAAAAATCATCAAAAACAATGGCTGTACATACATCATCATCAACACATGGTGGATCATCATCATCATCGACAGCATCAACATCTGGTTCAAATGTTGGATCCATAACAACAACAGCCACTGCTACTGGACAATCAAAACGTAAAGAAATTTATAAATATGTTGCACCATGGACAATTTATGCAATGAGTTGGTCAATAAGACATGATAAACGTTTTCGTTTAGCAATCGGTTCCTATATTGAAGAATATAATAATAAGGTTTGACGTTCGAAAATTTTGATTTGATTCGAAAAAAATTTCTAAAAAATCTTTTATCATTTTTTGATATTTTACAGGTACAAATCGTTACATTAGATGAATGTTCATCCGAATTTACAGCTAAAACAACATTTGATCATCCATATCCAACAACAAAAATTATGTGGATACCTGATATGAAAGGAAATTTACCTGATCTATTAGCAACTAGTGGTGATTATCTTCGTATTTGGCGTTTATCACAAGATAATGAATCAACAATGGAATGTTTACTTAATAATGTAATTGTTATTGTTTTTCAATTTGGTTTTGTTTTTTCATTCGATAAATTTTCGTTTTTCATCATCATTTTCTCTAGAACAAAAATAGCGATTTTTGTGCCCCGTTAACATCGTTCGATTGGAATGAAGCCGACCCGAATTTAATTGGTACATCATCAATCGATACAACCTGTACAATATGGGGTCTAGAAACTGGTCAAGCTATTGGTCGTACAAATGTACTATCGGGTCAGGTTAAAACACAGCTAATTGCACATGATAAAGAAGTTTATGATATTGCATTTAGTGGTGCTGGTGGTGGTCGTGATATATTTGCATCGGTTGGTGCTGATGGTTCTGTTCGTATGTTTGATCTTCGTCATTTAGAACATTCAACAATCATTTATGAAGATCCACAACATTTACCATTATTACGTTTAGCATGGAGTAAACAAAATTCATATTTATTAGCAACATTTGCATTAGATTCAAATGAAGTTATTATTATTGATATACGTTCACCATGTACACCTACTGCACGTTTGAAAAATCATCGTGGTTTTATTGATGGTATTTCATGGGCACCACATTCATCCAGTCATATTTGTACTGCAGGTATGTGTTATTTTTTTCATAAATCCAAAATTATCTTCTAAAACTAATTTTCTTTTCTTCATTCGAATTCTAATATCCAGGCGATGATCATCAAGCATTAATATGGGATCTACAACAATTACCACGTACAATTGAAGATCCAATATTAGCCTATCAAGCTGATGGTGAAATTAATCAAATACAATGGTCATTAGCACAACCAGATTGGATTGCAATCTGTTATAATTATTGTTTAGAAATACTTCGTGTTTAATGATCAACAAAAATTAACCCCCTCCTTTTTTGTAAATATTTTTCCTTCCTTTTCGACCAATGATTATCAATTCTATTTAACACTTTATATTCCTCTTTTAACATCTTCTCGGTACATATTTTATATTCCTTATAACTAGTCTGCATTCTCTCTCTTACACACATTCTACTTATAATTTTTTTTATTATTCCAAAGGGTTAGGTATGCTTTTAATATTTACAAACAACAAAATCAATGATAATTTATTAATATATAATTTTATTTAAAACGTCAAACAACGAAAAAGTCAAAAAATCACTTTCATAATGTATTATATGGTAATAATTCAGCAACAGTTGTATCTTCATATTGACAAACAATCAATACATTACGAAATTTATCAATCAATGTTAATATATGACTACGACGAAGATTTTCATAATACATAATATCTTCAATATGATGATGGCCATCAAAATATGGTAATAATTTTACAAATAAACGTATATCATCTAAATTATTTGCTGCTGGTACTATGGATAATATCTGTTCAATTTCATCATCGGTTAATCGTGTGGATGATTTCAGGATTAATTCAGATGATTCTTTGAATGTTGTTGTTGATGGTGGTTGATCATTGGTAATAAGAATTTCCGGCTGTAAATGATGATTTGTAACAATTAAAGATGGTGGTGGTACAGGTGGCGCTGGTGGTGATTGTTGATTAACATTTATCATCGTCGATGGTGATGTTTCATTCAATTCTTTTATAATATCCATTCGAATCATATTCGAGGAAGAAACAGGACTAGCCGATATTGGTGGTGGTGAACAACTATCACTTGTATGGCAAGAATGACCATTACCATCTGTTGTCGATATCGATATTTGATCATCAATGATCGATTCATTACTGCGTAACGGTTGATTTTGATTATGACTGATTATCGATGAACCACTGTTGGCCATCGATGATATTTCATTCGAAAGTGGAACAAATAATACATACATATGTAATTGAAGTAATAAACGTTTACGTAACATCCAAACAATCATCCGAACAAATTTACATTCTTGATCAATAGTATTCATTGGATTTTTAAATTGACTTAGCGAAACACCTAATGAAAATTTGGACATAATTCTCAGTAATGATTCATTTGAAAATTGTTGTTGAAATTCATCGATTAAACGAGAATCAATGGCAGTTGTTGCTGTTGGATGTAACATATAATGATTTGATTCACATAATGGAAATATTATTGTTGCTTTACCCCAATAAATAAGTTCAGCAACAATATTGAAAACTTGTGATAATGTTATATCAGCATCGGCTGATAATTCTAGCAAATTTTTTAATGGATTCGATACACGTATTAACCGTACGAATGATGGCGAAACATCTTGTGGCAGAGATTGTAACAAATGTTCCATTTCAATCAATAATAAAAATGTATGATATGGACGAAGTTTTTTCAAACAAAGTTGGATATTTGCCGGTGTTATTGGTGGTGCTACTGGTGATAATGATGCCATTAAACGACGATGTACTTTTTGTGGAAGGCAAAAATTCAAATTAATCCATTGATTCATTTTTATCTGTACAATTCCTTCGTTACATAATTGCAGGAATATTTCTTTCAATTCATTTGCCAGCTGACTTCGATCTAATATTAATTTATATGGTGATATTTTTGTTGTCGTTGAAGGTGTTGATGGTGTAGCCGTTGTTGTTGTCGTTGATTTATCACCACCACCACTTAAATGATGATCACCTGTTAATGATGGTACACTAATTTCATCATGACATGAAATCATTATTTTACTTTGTTTGGAAAAATATTTACATCGACGTTCTTCAGATTTTAATAATATTGCTAAATGTTGACTTAATTCATGATATGATTTAACTAAATCATGTTGTGCATTAGCTTTCAATGCAAATACAACATGAAAACAATGTTTATCAACGAGCATTGTTGGATGACCAACAAAACGTACATTATCCACTTTTAATTCAAATTTTTGATCACATAAACGATGTTTTACCGTACCGAATAGATTCGAAAAAGCGGAATCGGTTAAACCACCAATAACTTTGGTTATTTCAATTTTATCATTTAAATCAATATTTATACTTGATGAACCTGATGTTAATTCAGTATAAGCAGGTAATAATGATGATGATGCGGATGTTTGTTGTTGTTGATGATGTGAATGATGATCATTTAAAATATTTGACACTTTATTACGATTATTATCATTGATAATTGTATTTGTTGTTGTTGTTGTTGTTGATGTTTGATCATTTGATGGTAAAATTAATGCATAATGATTTTGATTATATTGTATTGATTGTATTGGTTCATCAATAACCACATAAGGAAAACGAAATAATAATTTCTCTTCAGTACTATCCGATTTAACAAGAAATACACCTAATGGTGTTGTTTCATCCGATATATTCATTAAACGTGATAAATCATCCATTGAATTTATCATTTTTTCGTTTTGTTTTTTAAAAAAATCCAAAATTTTTTAATTATTTTTTCGAAAAACATCAAACAACAAAAATCGTTAATTTTGTTTTTGTTTACGGCATTGTGTAATGTGCTTTATGAATGTACCCAGAAAATTTAAAGATTCGAATTCGAATGATGGTCACGATAATGATGATGATGAAGATGAAGAATGTTTTTGTTTGTTTTTTTATTTGTTTTTTTGTCTGAAAACTTGCAATCAATAATTGATTTGATGATTATAATTAAAGAAAATTTTCATCGATAATTATCGTTGATGATGATGGTGAGAAAAAAAATGTTTAATTAATGATTTTAGTCAGCCAATATTGAATAATGAAAGAATTTTCGGTTGAATGAATGTTTTGAATATTTTTTTTCCTTTTCCAAACCCGGCTATATATTGAGAAGAATTGAATGTGAATTTGAATTTGAATAAAAAATCATCATCATTATCATTTTCGAAACAATTCAACCATTACCACCGCTACCATACCATTCCATTCGATGTCCTTGTGATGATGAAATCGAAGAAAAGAAAAGTAAATCAACAATTACAATGCGATTTATCTATAAATTTACCTGACAAAATGATTCATGCGTTTCATTTGAATTTAAATTCTATCGATTTTTTTGTCGATAAAAAAATTGTGAAAAAAAATGTCATTAATCAATTCTATAGCAACGAAAATATCAATATGGTTAACAATATTGGCCATTATTTTGTTAGCGATTCTACATTTGGGTAAGATTTATTTGAATTCTTTTTTTCCCCTTCGAATAAGGAATATTCTTCCGGAAATTCTTATTGTTGTCTTTTTTTTTGGTAATCAAATGAAAAGCAAATGGAGCACCACGAACAATTCGTGATGATGGTGCTGGTGGTGGTGCTTTTGGATTCGTTACATTAGATACCGGTGGATCAGGATTTGTTGGCAATGATGATTCATCACATTCATTTCGTAATATAATTCAAACAATAATCGATATGGTTAAACGAATGTTTGGATGTAAGTTTTTTCCCTCAAAATTTAAACTTTCTCAATTTTTTTCAATCAAACAAAAAAAACTTAAAATTTTACCGAAATAAAAGGGGACGATCGTACAGCAATCGTACGTGAAGATGGTACTGTTGAATATATTGAAAATGGTGGCAATGGTTCATTTTTATCACGTATTGGTCGTCGTATAATGTCATTTATAAATATGTTATTAAATATGTTTATGGGTGATAATTCTATACCAGCATTCGATTTGAATACAGCACGTTCAACAATTATCAATGAATTAGATAAAGAAGGTATTCATCTGAATAATGGTTGAACCCAAAAAAATAACCGAAACAACTAACCGGAACATCCAATGTTTTTTCCCACATATCTTATATCCAACAAACAAAAAACAAAAATATTAAAGTAATGAAGAAAAAAAAGACTCATTTTATTTATTTCAATTACAGAATTTCTAAAATTTTTTTTTCTTTCCAATATTACTCATCATCATTATCTAAAATTGAATTTTTTCATTATTGCTGTTGGCGTTGTTGTTGTTGTTGTTGACGTTTATTCAATTCTTTTTGTACCGATTGTACACATTTAGCCATTGTTGATGATGAACGTGATATAATATCTGTTTGATAATAATCGGCCAATTCTTTCATCATTGGTATTAATTTTTTATTCGATATTATTTTCATTGATGATTGCGATGATGTTGATGGTGGTGGTGGTCGTTTAGCAATCGGTCGTATATTTTTATTATTATAATTCATTAATTCTGGTGATAATTGTGACATACGTTGTCGAATACCTTGAAGATTTTCATATGGTAATGTTCGATTAGAAATTTCCGATACAGCACGAACAATATGCCAATCATTTCTTGCCATTACTGGTGGTGTTATGGCAGCCAATGTTTGTTGTGAACGTCCTTCCATATTAACATAGATACCTTGTTTTTCGGTATATGCAGCACCAGGTAAAATTAAATCAGCTTGATTTGCTCCAATATCACCATTGTGTCCCTGTTTTTTCCCCCAAAAATGATCAATGAAATGGTAAAATCAGAAAAAAATGTAAATTACCTGATAGACAACAAAACAATTTTTCGGTATTTGAAGACCATTATCATCAACACCAAATAACCACATAACTGTTGGTTGATTATTATCATCCAGATTCATTTCAAAACTTGGTTTAAAACCTAAATCAAATGCAGCAACTTGTGATGCATTCGAATGTAACAGATTAAAATCGGCATTAAATTTTTCACTAATTAATTTTACAGCCGAATAAATTGAATCTTTTGAATTTTCGGATTTTAAAATCTGTTGTCCTAAAATTATTATCGGTTTTTTAGCCGATTTTAATTTTTTCACAATAGGATGTGTTTCCGAATAAATCTGTTGTAATGTATTTAGATCATCACCAAGCCATTGATAATCATATGAAAGATCAATATTTTTCGGCCCAACAAATGCAATATCATTTAATGTACTTTGCCGCCATGCTTTACGAATACGATGATTAACTAATGGTGCTTCTAAACGTACATTTGAACCAATAATTAATATGAAATCTGAATCTTCAATACCGGCAATACCAGTATTGAATAAATAATTATAACGTGATTCTAAATCCGATGATTTTGGAAATATTGTTGGATCAAATTTTGAATCAACATGTACGTAAAGATTATTGGAACCTAAGGGCAAAAAACCAAAATTTGTTTTTTTTTTGAAAATCGAAAATAATCTATTCACATACCAAAACTGTTGAAAAAATCTTTTACAGCAACCATTGTTTCGGCATCAGTATGTGGACCAACCATAGCAACAAGTCTTTTCGAATCACAATGATCAATAGCTTGTGATAATGATATTAATGCATCTTCCCATGCACATTCTTGTAGATGTGAATTGGATGATGGACGTAACATTGGTGTTGTCAGACGTTGTGTTTTCAAACCATCAATCGGTGCATGACGTGATTTATCTGCTAACCATTCTTCATTAATATCTTCATTTAATCTTGGTATAATACGTAAAAGATCACCCGATCTTTGACAAACACTTATATTTGAACCAACAGCATCAAAAATATCGATCGAATCATAACGTCGTAATTCCCATGGACGTCCTATATTTTGGATCAATCAATTCATTCAATCCAATCAACTGAATATATCATCATATTCAACTTACCAGTAAATGTATATGGTTTTGATGTTAAAGCACCAACCGGACAAATATCAACAATATTACCAGATAATTCACTAAGCATTGTAACATTTTCTAAATATGTACCAATTTGCATATCAGTACCACGACCAGTTGTACCAAGATCAGGACATCCACCAATTTCATTCATAAATCGTACACAACGTGTACATTGAATACATCTAGTCATTATTGTTCGTACCAGCGGACCGATATTTTTATCTTCAACAGCACGTTTTTCATCCAAATCGATACGTAATCTTGAACGATCCGAACCATATGCCATTGATTGATCTTGTAGATCACATTCACCACCTTGATCACAAATCGGACAATCCAATGGATGATTTAATAGAATAAATTCCATAACACTTTCACGTGCTTTTTTTGAAAATTCCGAATTCGGTTTGATTTTCATTCCGGGCATAACAGGCATAGCACATGATGCTACAGGTTTAAGACTTTTTTCCACTTCAACCAAACACATACGACAATTACCGGCAATTGATAAACGTTCATGATAACAAAATCTAGGTATTTCAATACCAACACGTGCACAAGCTTCCAAAACGGTTGTACCTGGTTCAACTTTAACCGATTGATCATCGATAAAAACTTCAACTAAATCGGATAATGCTCGATGTTGTTGTTGTTGTGATTGATTGATGGCTGATTTAACAGCTTTACGAAAATGATTCAAAATTATTGAATTTTGATTATTTAAAAATAATTTATACATGATTCTTTGAAGTTTTTCCAATCAATCAATTGATTGGTGAGCAAAAAAAAGATAAAAATCAAATCCAAAACAAAACAAAACAAACAAAATTCCTAAATTCATTCAGGTGACCTCTTGGCGTCGTCGATCGAACATTTGTTCTTGCATGTATTATATGAACGGCATCTTTTTTTTTGGTCATGCCATTCTAAAATTCGATATTGATACACGTCGGTTTTTCGGTTTTTTTCAATCAAATTTTTTCTTTGAAACAAAAAAGTTTAAAAATTTTCTTTGTCAAAAATGATGATATTACCATTCATTTCATTTTTTGTAATCTGTTTCATTCGATCATCATTGGCAAATGATTCAGTATTAGTTTTATTGGATCATTTATCCATTAAAGAAACACATTCCATTTTCTTTAAATCATTACAAGGTATTCAAACTGATTTTTTTGTTCTTTTTAAAAATTTAAAAATTTTCAATCTTTTAGATAGAGGATTTGAACTTACATTTCGTTTGGCTGATGATGCAACATTATCGTTGAATAAATATGGTACACCATTATATCAACATTTGATTCTATTTTCACCATCGGCTGAAGGTAAAATTTTTTTTTTTGATAAATTTCTTTTTCATCGTTAATTTCGATTTCGACCCATAGAATTTGGTGGCAATATCAACACACAGGCAATTACCGAATTTATTGATAATGGTGGTAATATATTGGTGGCTGTAAATGAAAATGTTGGTGATGCTATACGTGAATTAGCTGTCGAATGTGGTGTTGAAATTGATGAAGAAGGTGCACAAATTATTGATCATTTTAATTATGATATTAATGATGATGGTATGCATACATTGGTCGTTGTTGATAAGGAAAATTTAATCGATGCCCAGACTATTGTTGGTAATCGATCCAAAATTAATCCAATATTATTTCGTGGTATCGGTATGATTTCTGATCCAAAAAATACATTAGTTCTTGATGTATTGAAAGGTTCATCCACTTGTTATTCACATAATCCATTGAAAGATATTACCGAGGTAAGCATGTTGTTTTTTACAGAAAATCTAATTATAATCATTATTATTTCATCATTAATTATTTCTAGTATCCACATGTTGTTGGCAAAAATACTTTATTAATATCAGCATTACAAGCACGTAATAATGCACGTGTTATATTTGTTGGTTCATTAGATTTTTTTAGTGATAATTTTTTTCAATCATCAATCAAAATAATAAATGGTCAACAATATGATAAATCTGGTAATGAACAATTAGCTAAATCATTATCTGGTTGGGTATTTAAACAACAAGGTGTATTACGTATTGATTCAGTTCGTCATTTTAAAACTGATCAACCAAATGAAAATCAATCATATACAATAATGGATGATGTTGAATATTGGGCAATGATTGAAATTTATGAAAATGGTCAATGGTTACCATATAATGCTGATGATATTCAATTAGAATTTGTTCGTATTGATCCATTTATTCGTCAAACATTGACAAAAGAAAACAATGAATATGTTGCCCGTTTTCGTATACCAGATGTATATGGTGTTTATAAATTTATTATCGATTATAAACGTATTGGTTATACAAATCTTTATTCATCAACACAGGTATCAGTTCGTCCATTACAACATACACAATATGAACGTTTTATAATATCAGCATATCCATATTATTTTAGTACATTTTCAATGATGTTTGGTGTATTTATATTTAGTTTTGTATTTCTTTATTTTCGTGAACAAACAACCAAAACTAAATCAGAATAAAACAACAACAACAACAAATACAAACGATACAAATACACAAAAACAAATTTACTATTGAAAGATCTGAATATTTGTAAATTTTTTTTATAATTATAATCTCAAATGTTGATGGTGATGATGAATAAAAATTCCAAAAAAAACTCGTTTTTTTACGTTAAATTTTTTTTCGTATATAAATAAATTGGCCTTTGGAAACCTGCAGGGAAGAAAAAATTCTTGAAAATTTTCTCAAAAATGAAAAAAAAACAATATTACCTTTTTGATTATGTAAAGGTGTTCCTAATAATTCACAGCTTTTAAAACCAACATCTTTGAGTAGATATTCATGAAAATGTTCCGGTTTAAAACGTATTGAACGAAAATTTTCCATTAATTTTGGCTAAAGGAAGAAAGCAAAAATTTTCAAAATCAAAGTCTAAAAGATTCCCTCAAACACACTTACAGTCATTTTAGATTTTTTATATGAAGACCATGGTTGTGGTTCCAATATTAATGAACCACCGGGACGTAATTGTAAAAATATTCTTCGAAATGTTCGTCGTAAACCAGCATCACCCCAATTCAGATGAATCCATTTTGTAACACTTAAACATAGTATACAATCATATTGTGATTTTTGATATTTTAACTGATCATCCATTGATGGAACATAATTTATATGTACAAAATTTATATTATTTGGATATTCCTTACAATTTTTATCATCACCACCATCATTATTATCAGCAACATCAACATCAAATAATGAATCCAATTGACCATATAAAATCGGCAACGATAATGGAAATTTTTCCATATTAATCATATTTTTCGTAACAATTTGTCGTAAATTTTTTCTTGCAATCTGTATTAATGATTGATCAATATCGATACCGATAATTTTTCTTGGTTGAAATTCTTTTGCAATTTTCATTGTTATTTGACCAATATTACAGCCAATATCGAGAACATCTTTTCCGGAAAACCATTCCAAACGAAATAAATCTAAACGTGGATCTTTATTATCATCATTATTCATCGAACGATAACCATAATAACGATTATAATTTCCATATTGAAAACGTTCTTTTTGTTGTTTTGAATGTTGATTTTGATTTTGATTCAATGATTTTGATCGATGATTTTGAAAATTTTGTTTATCACAAATCTGATTTTTTGTACAACAATTTTTCGATGAACATGATAATGACATAGATCGTTGTAATGTTGATGGTGGACGAATTGATTTTGATGTTGATGACATCGATGTTGCTGTCGCTGAAGATGAAGATGATGATGATGGATGAACCATCGATGTTTCGGTCGTTGATAAAGATTGAATATTATGATAACAATGATGATTTAGACAGGAATCATCTTTAATCATTGAGTTTGTCGTCGATGCGTTTGTTGTTGTTGTTGACATTGAAGGCAACGACATTTGACGATGAATTTCACTTTCAGATGATGTACGTTGTCGTTTAAAGCGATGATTATGATAATGATGTTGATGATGATGAACAAAATATGATTTACCACTTTTATTATCATTCGTAATTCTGTTGTTTGAATCATTAGATTCTTTCAATTGATCCGATCCATGTGTTAAATTTAATGGATCCTGTAAATTTGTTGGAATTAAAACATTAATCATTTCTTTTGATCTAGATTGATCTGATGGTGATGATCGTTCGATATTTATACTGTTACTGCTGATTGTTGTACCTTGACCATCACCATCACCATTATCATTATCATCATTTTCACCATCGTCATTATCATTACGATCATCATCATTTGTTTTAATACTTTTTAGATTTAATGGATCATTAAAATTTACACCACCTAATAATAAATGTGACGCTGGTACAAATGAATCGATATTATTATTAGCTTTTCGTCGTTTTTTACCATGTTGTAAACATGATGATGATTGATGATATTCCATTGATGATGATGATGAATTAAAACCAAAACGACGTTTTCTAGATCCATGATGATCATTATTATTACGAATATTTGTACAAATATGATTTATTGATGGCCGATGATAATTAGTAGCTATAATTAGATCAATGAATTGATTAGATTTTTATAAAATTTCCAAAAAAAAAATTACCTTGATTCGAATCATTGTTATGATTACTATTGTTACATCTTTGATTTGACATTTTGAATTTAACAAAAACAAAAAAAAACAAATCAAACAGCTGAGATCATTGAGAATGAAAACTTCAAATCATTGAGAAAAAATTCATCATCCAAAAAAGATTTTAATCAATTTTTTTTTCGTTTGTTTACAATTTTTTTTTTGTGTTTCATCACAAAACTTGCTGCATGCATTCGAATTCTATATCGACCGAAATGGTCAAAACGATATGAATAGTGTTCGAATGATTAAAAAAACACATAGATGACGTTAGTATCGAATTTTATTTTTAAAAATTTAGATTTTTTTCTTTTAAAAATGAAATAATTTTGAAAAAACAGGAAATTTCAACAACAATTAAAATAGATTTTCGGAGAAACCCATCACCAATTTGGAATCGATCGATCAATCAATAAATCAATTAAGCATTATATGTTGATGATGAAACATTACCACCTTTACCTGTCCAATTTGTATGAATAAAATTACCGGGATTATCAATACGTTGATAAGTATGAGCACCAAAATAATCACGTTGTGCTTGAATTAGATTAGCTGGTAATTGCCCGGAACGATAACCATCATAAAAAGCTAATGCAGTTGAAAATGCTGGTGTTGGTATACCCAATTTAACAGCAGTAGCAATAACATTACGCCATGAATCTTGACATTTACTGATTTCTTCACGGAAAAAATCATCCAACAATAAATTCTGCAGTTCAGGATTATTATCGAATGCTTTTTTAATATTGCCCAAAAATACTGAACGAATAATGCAACCACCACGCCACATTAATGCAATACCACCATAATTTAGATTCCAATCAAATTTGGCAGCCGCTTCACGTAATAACATAAATCCTTGTGCATACGAAACAATTTTTGATGCATACAATGCCTGTTCATTGTTGTTATTGTTATTTCGGGGTGAATTGAACAATGAAAAAGTTATTTCCAAGAATAAAAATGACAAAAATAACAAAGACATACCTTACGAATATCATCAATAAATGATTTTTTATCACCAACATCAAATTCCATTGTTGTTGATGGTCCGGAAAGTATTTCACTTGCAGCTAAACGTTCATTTTTTAATGATGATAAACAACGTGCAAATACTGATTCACCAATCAATGTTACCGGTACACCAAAATCTAATGCTGATATTGCTGTCCATTTACCGGTTCCTTTCTGTGTTGTTTTTTGAAGTCAGAAAAAAAAATGTCAGAAAATGTCATAGAAAAATCAAAACCTTACCTGCCCGGCTGAATCTAAAATTTTTTCAACTAATGGTTGACCATCATCATCTTTATAACGCATTATATCACTGGTAATTTCAATCAGAAATGAATCTAATTCTTGTTTATTCCAATCAGCAAATATATCAGCCATTTCATCGTTTGATAATTTTAATATCATTTTCATTAAATGATATGCTTCACAAATTATTTGCATATCACCATATTCAATACCATTATGTACCATTTTAACAAAATGACCAGCACCATCATTACCAACCCAATCACAACATGGTTCATTATTATCGGAAACTTTTGCCGAAATACATTGAAATATTTCTTTAATATGTGGCCATGCTTCTGGATGACCACCAGGCATTAATGATGGTCCATAACGGGCACCTTCTTCACCACCACTAACACCTGATCCAACAAATAATAAATCTTTTGATTTTAAATAATTACAACGACGTTGTGTATCAGTATATTCGGAATTACCACCATCAATAATAATATCACCCTGTTCTAATAATGGTATTAATTGTTCAATAAATGAATCAACAGCTTGACCAGCTTTAACTAGAATGATAATTTTTCTTGGTTTTTTCAATTTCGAAACCATTTCTTCCAAACTATGTGCACCAATAATTGATTTTCCTTTCGCTTCGTTTGCTAGAAAATCATCAACTTTTGATGTTGTTCGATTGAATGCACAAACAGTAAATCCATGATCAGCCATATTTAGGATAAGATTTTGTCCCATAACAGCTAAACCAATTAAAGCAATATCAGCACTGAATATGCGAAAATTATGTAATCGGAAATTATTCAATGGAAAATTCAAACAAAATCAAACTTACGGTCCTTCAGAAGCCATTTTCAATAATTCTTGATTGATAATTTTGTCTTTATAAAAACAAACTTTTAAAAATTCAAATCGAAAAAAACGATGAAATCAGAAAAACGTTCAAATTAAAAATGATTTTTTTTTTTCAAATCTCCAATGACACACGAGCACACAATAAACACGAGCACAAACAGTGGTAATAATGATAATCAAATGAATGGTAAGAAAACTAACAACAAAACAAACTTTTTTATCATAAAAAAATAATGTATATGACACTTATCATCATCGTGGTGGCTGTCATTGAAGTTTTTCTTTCTTTCTTTCGATTGAATAATAACTAGTTATGACAATAACAACAACAACAACAACAAAAAGCGAGGAGGGAATAAAAAATCCCGTTTTATCGATTTAAGTTTCGACAACACCATTCATTGCCAAACATGTCATTTTTTTTCATTTGTTGGTTGGTTGGTTGCTAGTGGCAAATCCAATTAACGATAATGATTATTATGAAGGATAAGTGCTTGTTTCCTTGAAAATGATCTGATCGATGGCAAAATCGATTTTGAAAAAAAAAGTTTAATTAGAAAATTATGAGAAAATTGATGAAATCACCATCGTAACGATGTATGTGTAGAGTTTTTTTAAAAAAAACATTCGAAATTCTTCATTTGAATAATTTTATTCGATTCGTTTTTTACAAGAATTGGGTTCATCAAAATAATTCATTTTCTTTTTCGCTAGAATTTTTTTCGTTTGTTTTGTTTGATATAAAATATATGATTAATGAGCAAAGACAACAATCAAACAAACAAAACAAACAAAAAATTTAAAAAATAAAATAAAATAATGTTAATGATAATTACATGATGAATATATCTTCCTATACAATTCATTTAATGATGATGATGATAATATTTTTGATCGATCATTGTTGTTGTTGTTGTTGTTGATGATGATGATCCAATGAATGATTATATTGGTTATTATTATTATTAAATCGTAAATCATTATCATGAAATGTTTCATTTCCGTATGAAATATTTCCATGAAAAGATTGTTGTTGTTGTTGTAATGGTGGCTGTTGTTGTTGATGATGACCATTAAAATATTGTTGTTGTTGTTGATACATAGTATCCTGATTATTTGTATTATATGAAAATGGATTATCAAATTGTTGTTGTTGTTGTTGACCAAATTGATCATTGAAAGGTTGTTGTTGTTGGTGATGATTATATGATGATGAGGTATTTTCATTCTGCTGTTGTTGTTGTTGTTGTTGATTATTACGATTTAAATTATTTTTTACATTATCCAAATTATTATTATTATTATTCCATTGTTGTTGAAATTTTTTCGGTATTGGTTTGGAATATGGTTGTTTACGTTCTTTCATTCGTTGATGATTTTTCTGCTGAGATTTTTGTTGTTGTTGTTGATTAGAATCAATATTTGTTAATGATATACCAATATTATCATTATTATTTTTTTGTTGAGTTGATGATGAAAATATTGTCGATTCATTCGATGTTGTTGTTACATTTGCCTGATTAGATTGTGAAATCGATTCGGATTCTTGATCAGCACGTTCAAAACCAAAACCCGGTATTATTATACCAATATCATCATCATCATTTTTACCACCACCAATACCAGTACCATCATTAAAACCCATACCAGGTATATATGATTGTAAATCATCACCATCTTCACATTCTTCAATACCTTTTGGTAATAGATTTAGATTATAACGATCACGCATTTTATCTCCCGGTCGATTTCTAGTCCAAAATTTGCTTTAAAAAGGAAACATCGAAAAAAACATAAATAAATTTCCCAATCAAATCAAAACTAAACTAAAACTAACCATGTATGATCATTAGATCCTGAAGTCAGTATATGACCTAATGGATGCCAACTTAATGACCAAACAATTGATTCATGTGCATTTTCCATACCGCCAATTTCTTTATCAGTTCTGCAAGGGGAAAAAATGAAAAATTTTTAAAATGAAAATCCAATAACATTATTATCATTATTTACCCAACAAGCCAAAATAATATTGAACCATCCGAACCACCACTAGAAAAAAGACCTTCATGTATTGGATGCCATGATAAACAGCTAACTTCTTTTTTATGACCACGAAATGTTTGCATTTCATTTGTCATATTTCTAATATCATAGATTTTTATCAAATGATCACGTGATGATGTTAATAACCAATTACCATTATGATTCCATTTAACATCGGTTACTGTATTTTTATGTGCATGTCTGAACAAAAAAACATTAATTAGGTAATCACAGGTAGATTTTTTAAATCACAAAAATAATAATTACAATGTAGCTAAACTTTGACCAGTTTTTGGATCCCATAATTTTACTGGTTGTTGACTATCTTTACTTCCGGATGCAATTAAGGATTTTGTTGGATGCCAATCAATACCCTTAACATCGGCACCATGACCACGTAGAATTTTTTCCTCAAAACAACGAAAAAAATCCCATATCCGTATGGTTCCATCATCGGAACATGTTGCAAATTTTGTATCCGTTGGACAGAAACTTGATCAGTTCAAGAGGAGAAAATTTGGTTAAAAAATCAGCAAATCAAATCATCATTACCAACCTTATTGCTCTAACAGGTTCTTTATGTGCTTGAAACATTTTAACATTATTCATATTACTTTGCCAATATTTAACATAACCATTTTGATCACCAGTTACCATCCATGAATCATTTCTTGACCAAACCATTACTTTTACGGCTGTATCATGGGCCTTTTTTTTGAAATTGAAAACAAATTGAAATTTAAAATTGAAAAAAAATTTGACAAAATTTTACCTGTAAAATAGTTTCGAAATTAAATGTTAAACCATTCCAAAGGGTAAATTCACCGCTTGATGATCCGGTTATTAAACGACGACCTTCAGGTGTCCACAGAACACAGAATATCGGACAACGCATTTTATTTGTTGATGTTCGAACAAATTTTGTTGTTATACAATTGGCTGCATTATTTTGCATATACATCGGTGGAACAATCTATCGGATTAGATTTTGATTATTAATTAGAAATTTCTATTATCGTTTTCGAAACTAACCTCAGTATAATAGGCAACATCTGGTTGGATGGCACGATAATCACGTGAATCTCTTTGCCATATACGTGATTCCAGCATTTTGACTATCGATGAATTATAATCAACTGTTTTACGTGCAACAGCTTTTCGTAAACGTTTTCCATCAAATTCGGCATTCTGAAATGGTGATGGTACTGGTGGACGTGGTTGAAATGTATAAAAACTTGTTTGCGGTTTAACGAATGTTGTTGTTTTATTCGCAACGTTCGCTGGATTCGTATTTCGATATGTGTTGCTCATTTTGTTTTCAAATCGATGATGATGATGATTATCACAAGAAACGATGATAAATTAAAAATTTCAACAAGAAAAAAACAAAAGAAAATTTACAAAAATAAAATACATGCAAATTCCATTATCAGATTATGATATTTGATAAATTCATTTTGGAAATTATTTTTTAATTTTGAAATACGAAAACAAAAACGAAATTGAAAATTTACTAACAAACTTTCAGTCAAAAAATCTAAACATCTGACATTCGAATAGATTGTTCATAAACAACGATATGTTCAAGTCACAATATGTATCGAATTGCAATTTGCAAAATGCCGGTAGAATTCAAATTGAAAAAAATTTGTTTTATCAATTTTTTTCCCAAATATGCTAAAATCGCGATCTTCCAGATCGATAATCGATAATCATTTCAGGAAAGAATCTTCCATCCCGAAAAAACCATTCCAATTCAAATCAAAAAAATTCAAATCAAATCAATTGTGACTATTGCCGAAAAAAAAAGCAAACGCAAGACAAATCGAACGCCCAATAATAACTCAATCGATAGATGGCGTTAAAATAGCCCAAAAAAAAAGAATAAATTTTTTCACTGCCCCTTTTTTGTACATTGAGTTTTGTTTGTTGTTGTCGTTTGTTTGCTCATCAATTTCCGAGCCCATCAATTTCATTCAATTTCAATTTCGATTAAAAGTATTTCTGTTTCTTGAATGTTGATGAAATGTGAAATTTGATTGAAAGATTATCACTTTTTGCCTCGTTTTGATGATTTTTAAAAAAATCAATTAAAATTGTTTGATTGATTGAAATTAATTTTGTTAGGAGAGAATTTGATTCGAGTGAGAGAGATTAAAATCAACGATAACCAACAACAACAACAAATGATAATTATCATCGTTTAACAACATTATCTATCTATCTTTTTGCTGCTGCCGATTGTTATTGTCAAAAGATTTTCCATTTCGAAATTCCATAAATCATTTTATTTATTGTTCTTTTTTGGGAAAAACATCTTTGAAAGAATCGAAAATGCAAACGATTAAATGTGTTGTTGTTGGTGATGGTGCTGTTGGTAAAACTTGTTTGCTCATTTCATATACAACAAATAAATTTCCTTCCGAATATGTGCCTACTGTAAGTGAATTTTTGAAAAATAATTTGAAAATTTGACGAAAATTTTTAAAATTGATAGGTTTTCGATAATTATGCCGTTACTGTTATGATTGGTGGTGAACCATATACATTAGGTTTATTCGATACAGCCGGACAAGAAGATTATGATCGTTTACGACCATTAAGCTATCCACAAACGGATGTATTTTTAGTTTGTTTTTCGGTTGTATCACCATCATCGTTTGAAAATGTTCGTGAAAAAGTATGTATCATCATTTCAACAGCCAAAAAAAGTTTCCAAACAAATTTTCATTCATTAATTTCTTTTAATTAACCACAGTGGGTACCCGAAATAACACATCATTGTCAAAAAACACCATTTTTATTAGTTGGTACACAAATCGATTTACGTGATGAAGCATCAACAATTGAAAAATTATCCAAAAATAAACAAAAACCAATTACAATTGAAGCGGGTGAAAAATTGGCTAAAGAATTAAAAGCAGTTAAATATGTTGAATGTTCAGCATTAACACAGGTTTGGTTTTTGAATATTCTTTTCTGAAAATTTTTCATTTTTTTAACAAAAATTATTTTTTCCCCACCAAAAAAAAAACCAGCGTGGATTAAAAAATGTATTTGATGAAGCAATTTTGGCTGCATTGGAACCACCACAACCAAAACGTAAACGTAGATGTACTATAATCTAGATCAACAAGATGGCGAAAGAAAGAAAGATATTACAAACAAAAAATATTTTCTCAAAACTAAAAATTCTTCCGGATGATGATGATGATGATTTCATCGATAATAATAATAATAATAATAATGATCATTGCAACAACAACAGAAAAACGTCAACAACAGAAACCTTTCCTTCCTTCACTTTTTTTTAAAAAAATACGAAAACAAATATATTTCTATAAAATCTTATTACTTCATCATTTATCATCATATTACATACAAATATGAACAACAACAATTTTTTTTATAATTACAATTACAATTTTTTTTCTATATTTATTATTATTTAATTGATTGATTTGACCAATTGGTGTGTGTGATTAGGTGAAAACAACATTTACAAAATACAATTTTTTTTTTTAAAAAAAAGGCCAAACATACATCTATTTCCACCCACACACACACTGTTTCAATCCAATAATGTCCCTCCTTCAATGGAATCCAAAATTCAAAAAAAAAAAAAAAAAAAATTATTAGTTTAGTTAAACTTTTTTTTTGTATAGGGGGAATTTCGTTTTTTTTTAAAAAAA